TTTTAAAGAAAAACTAAAAAAAAAACCCAAATCTCGTTTTTTATGTATTTTTTCAAAAGTGTTTGATAATAACAACTGAATTGTGTAAAAGGGACTGAAGAGATATTGGCTTTTTTTTTCGGGAACGGTAATGAGATTTTACAAATATGGAAAATATATTATCTTAAGAAACGATTGTACTTCAGAGGCGTACTTTAATGTATTCTTTATCGTCCGCTGTGGATGTGCATGAAAATAAATATTCAACCAATTATTATTTCAAAATAAAGTTAATTCTTATAACTTTAGCTTTTTGATAGTGGAGGTCACGTAGAAGTACAGATAGCCAAACAAAAGTTTAACAAATATTGTTTGGAATCACTATTGTTATTATTGTTAGTGTTATTATTATACAGATTTGCCACATATTAAAAACTGCTATTATAACCTTACAAATACACATTAATATCCCCTTTTATATTGAAGCGTTCAAATCAATCACAGCAATTGACTGCACCAAAGTGTACATGCATACATTTTCTATCATGGTCACTTCTAAAAGAACACCTTATGTTTATAAAAATTGTATTTGAACTTACTAGTTTCTAATTCTAGCTATTCAAGTAACTTAATTTTATACACTATACACTTCATATTATACTCAAATTTTATATATTTAAACTCTAGATTTATTGCTATTGTACCGACCTTGCTCTTGGTAACTTCGTTCGTGCAACCGTACTAGCTCCATCTATTGTAATTGACACTAATTTCACAAGCAATATTTAAAATTCGTGTCTATGTTTCACAATATCTATACACATAGATAAATGTAAATATAATTATCCGATATTATAGCGCTTCGAACACTGGATTCGAGGAATGAATTTTAATTGAAATCGTCAAAAATCAACTCACGGTATACAGCACTACTGGCCACTTCGGCATTATCCAAGTTGGGGATAATCCATAAAAATCCATTAATATAATAAAAATATAAAGAATGTGATTTAAAAACCTAACAATGTAAGTAATGAAATTAATGACCTAAATAAATAGCTAAACTTACATACGTACGTTTATCAGCATGATTTTCCTTTTACTATAACTTATTTTGTTTATAATTCGCATTAATTCAACGTCATATACATGAAAATGTTACAAGTACCTATGTATATTTGTGTATACTTCAAAAACTCAAAAAGTTCGAGACCGATTGACCTCAAATTTTGACACGATATACAACACGCTTCAAAATATGGTTTTTATCTATTTTTTGTGTGCCATATTATGCCACAGCGAAGCGTGGCAGGGTACAGCTAGTTAATAATAAATTTGTGTAATTGGAATAAATATAAATTCACTAACATGCGGAAATTCCCCACAATAAGTAATATGAAATAACGAAATTTACTTAAATAGGTGTCTCTAAGTTTGTGAAAAATAAATCTGTGTTGGTAGTTAAGTTTAGTTTAATGGAAGCGGATTTAGATAAGAGATAAAGATGACGATTGATTGATAATGATAATTGAAATTCATCGGTTTTTCTGGCTTAGGCAAGGGTAAAGAAGACTGTACTCTAAGTTGATTGGTCTTGAAACATTTATATTTGTGTATTTGACATGATTTTATTGTTTCAGATTTAAACCACAGCCATTAAATTCAGTAAATAGTTTTTGTTATCATCATATCAGTGACAAAGGTTTTTTATTAAATATTTTAGATATTTCCTTATCCTTTTAAATATGAAAACCTTTCTATACCTAAAAAAGAATCACGCTTAAAGACTACACTACGACTTTAAGGTAGCTAAGCGTTATACGGCAATGTAGGTAGAAAAAAGAATTTATTCTGTCGTTATTTCCCTTACACTCTTTTGATTTACACTTGTTTAAAATTCATTTTTAAATTATCATATTATTAAAGTAAACTTTATAACGAAATAAGACTGCCACAGATCATAATAAATCACTTAATAAGGTTCGAATTTAAAACATGAGATTTGAATTAAATTGACAAGAACTTTTAAACCTGTGAGCTAAATGTTAAAAATAAAAATAAACAGATTTTCATGAGCCTTAAGGATGACGAAATAGAGGACATCAGTAAAGAAGACCAGAACCGATTCAGCAGTATTTTTGTATGTTCGGGATTGAAAGGACAAGATTGTAAAAAGCCGGAATTTTTTTAAGGATTTTTTTTAAAGAGTACCTACAAATAAAGGTCTAACTACATTAGACCTTAATATTTACTTACTTTCTTAACTGGTTTGTTTATCACATACAATAAGATACAACTGGAGATCATTACTGATTGTTTGCTTAGTAAAAAAACAATTATTAGCTTAAATGTGTTTCTTGTAAAGAAACCATTTATCGAAATCATAAAAAACTAGATGTGACAGTTAGTAAGATGCTTTATAACATTGTGTTATCGATGGTGTATTAAAATAATATGTAAATCACCAATGCCTCCATTCCTGCTTAAACAAAAAAACTCACTGTTAATGGCCGACTGAAGTTTTTTTTTTAAATCGTGGACATAGTTGCCGCCTGAGAGTGATGGTCATTATTTTTTTTTTATATATTTTTTTTCTTGGCTTTTATTGTTCTATCAGTCCTGTAAGCTTGTTTCTGACTGACCGCATATACTTTTGACTACATTTGAATATTTTTTGAGCAGTTTCCTGGGTGTTTTAGGTACACAATTTGGTGACGCTGCATCTTCTGCAAGTTCTACAAATTATATTATTTATTTTTCACCAAAATGTTTTTTTTTTGGATTTTGGTATACGAGTATATGTATTAATTTTTTAACCAAAATAAATTAGGACACTAAAAAGAAAAGTCTACGTTCGGGCAGAAAACAATGACTTTCGGGATCCTTACACTTTGTGTCCTGCATTGATTCCTTTTATAATTATTAATGATATTACCATTATTATTGGTATTAATATACCAATACTATTGCCAACTAAAGATAAAATAGTTCCTGCTCAAGTGAAGCGGTTTACCAAAGATCTAGATAGATAAAATTTTATTTACATATGTAGATAAGGTTTGGATTAAGCTCTCTATAATTATTTTATTTGTATATAATGACATTTTTACTGTGATTTTAATACGTTATTAGCATTTTTGTACACAGTAGAAAGTTAAGTAGTAGAAAATTTGAGGTATTTGTTTGACCGTCTGAATCAAGTTTGATGGATGATATGTCTTAAGATTTATGTTTATCTAGAGAAATCTCAGATTATAAAACAAAAGGTTTGTAATCTGAGATCCTAATTATAAAAATGAACCTATTAAGTGGACTATGAAAATGAAGGATTTTAAGATTGAATATTTCAAGATTTTTAAACAAAAACTGGAGCAAAAATGATGAAATTATGAAAATTAATACATGATAATGGTTACTAATTCAAATGTAATATTACTGTCTCCTTTTTCTATTGCAACAGAATGGTCCAACCGTGTATATTGTACAGTTGCAATTTTTTACATATTTTATCAATTATACATATTTACTGAATGCGACAACAATTTGGTGACTATTATTGCATAAATAAATTTGTATTGTTTTAGGAACTTGGTCATTGCAACTCGCAGTTATGAGATGAAATCCGAAATATATATTTATTTTGAGAAACAATGTTTTGACTGCTTAAAGTCACAAAATCACACACAAATGCACAAAATCGTTGCTTTATTCAACAAGGTACAAGGTTACCATATTATCAAATTATATTATGAAGAGTAATTTTCAGAATATGATAATTGCCGGAGCTTTTTATATATTTGTTGTATACAGTTTTAATTCTACTTATATACATTTATTACATCTATAGTATTCGTCATGTAGTATCAATATCGTGTGACACAGATGGGTTTAGGTAACTCTTTAAGAGCGTGAATAAGATTCTAAAGGCACAAATGTATGATCCACTTCCTCATCATGACTATACGTAAGATAAAGCTTTCACCGCCTGATGCAGCAAGGATTGTTACTAGGAAGAAGGCTTGTCATATATAGAATTATGAACTACATTGTGTTTGTCTGGCATTTATATTGTATGTAACACATACGATATGAAGACGTTTCCGCACTTCTCATATGCGGAGTTACAAAGCTTCATCACGACTATCAATACAGAGCTTTGTAATTGTGTAGCACTGTTTAAGATCATATTCATAAATCTGAAAGTTGTCTGTTCAAATAACGAGATCAACTTTCAATAAACATTTTAATTTCATAATATTACTAACATCTGACTACAGCTACGATTTCGTATAGGAAGGGAGGTCGCGTCACCTACCGACGCAGGTATTCACTGGGCATTGTTGCTTTGGTAAGTACCATACAGATTATATGTATCCATATTCTTACACTTTTGACATCCCATTTGTTGCAACCGCGCAAAGGTTAGGTACGAATACATGTATGTTTATGGGCCACCTTATCGGCGGAAAATTAACATATGTTTATATATTTTCACCTACAACGTATCAATGTGACCAAGAAAAGTTACACTTCCAAAATGCATCATAATGTTAAGGTAAATTGATTGTAACAACAAGGACTCTTTACCCACGCCACCGAGCTTTAAAGTTGTAGTTGATGGCTCAACATAATCAGATATTTTAATTGATTTATAATCGAAAAGGCCGATAGAATTTGCACATTACGAAATAATTACTGCTACAATACTACAAAATAAATACATATGTTACGAAAAGGCTCTATTGCTTGATCAAAATTGGTCACGCGATAGTAGATATGAATTAAACTCATCAATGTTCGAAGGATGTTCACGGACTCGTTAACTAGTAAAGACGCGTAATCGTGAATCGTGTGAATCAATCTGAACGTAGGTTTAAACTGATGATATTTAGTCATGGCTATTGAGGTAGCATCAGAGCGGAGATCTGTGTGTTTGGAGGGTCATCCATCACGATAGGGCGACATTGCGGCATCTTCATTGCGTCGCTCGAGGAGCCGTGGGGTGCGTATATAAGATGCGGATGAGTTCGGGGCGCGCTACCAGTTAGCTTTGCACGCTAAAGAACGATCATTGTCACCGGTACCGATTGTTACAAGTTGTGTACAGTGTCGTTGTTTGTGATCCCAGTATTTGCTTCAAAGGTGAGTTTTACCTCGAAAATGCAATTATTTCCACCGGATATCTTTTTGTAATTGATGATTATTTGACAATAATTAAAAAGTTTTGCACATTTAATAACTAATAAAATTAATGATACACATTAATTATATTGAATAATATTGGGCTAATTCAGACTGTAAAATATACATATGACACAGTTTTATATTAATAATAATCGTTTAATATTATATGTATTTTTGTATTTATTAACAAAATTATGTATTTAATATATTTTACGTAATTTTAGAACAAAAGTTACATTACAAGCACGGCTTTGTCGTATACGCAGTTGATGTCCTTCACAAGAAAACAATCAATATCAAATTTAAAATCTTTGTAACATAAAATTGAATAATTTATTATTACTATCATTAATTTTTAATGACAAAATATAAAATATTAAACATATAAAATTATAAAAACTCAAAGTCACATCAAATATCGGTTGCTTCAATCCATCTAGTAGTCCTAACAACATATACGATTAGTAGCTATTTTCTTAGTGTTTATAATGCTGACACGAAAAGGTATAGTGCGTATAAGAAAATCGTGTGAATGGTTCATGTTACAATATTGATTTACTGCCTTCTTAAAATTAATAATTAAGCAAAAACTGTGAAAATACAATGTCATCACCTTTGGGATTTTTTCTGTAACTGAGGCTGCAGGCCGCTGGTTCAGTTATTTTCTCACGGCAGAACCGGGCTATTGAGTAAGTACTATAAATGTATAAACAACTAAGACAGTCGATGGGTAGATAAGTAAGACATCAATGAAATTATAAAACTACAGTAGACACCTAAATTAATTCTAAATAGCGAGAAAAACATTTGTTGAAGATGATCGCATTAATTCTATATTCTACCCACTTAATTATGTTTTATTACTAAAGGGCACATAAAGATAATATGGTGTAGTGTGGAAGGCTTTTGCTCCTAAGATAAGTGACCGACTGGGGACTTCTCAATTAAAGCCGCAGTTGACTAAATAACGGCTAGAGTCGATAAATTGCCATTCGGGTAGGAAATAAGGCAAATTAGCAAAGATAGGACAGTTAATAAGGCAGGATGCCTGTAAGCCTACGCAGTAGTATTAAAAAAAATGTATATTACTATTTCCACGTAGGCTTGTACCTTATCTATAAGGACATTTATTTGTACTTATAAGGACAAGAATCGGGTCCTTGTCGACGAAAGTTAACAAAATCTCAGGTCATAAATTCATTATAAGTAACTAGGAAATGTTTATAAGAGTCTCGGTTTCATTTTAATTACACAAATCCTTTTATATAATATGCAAAACTAAAAACATGAGGTCAGTGTTCTTATGATGAATTTTTAAAATACGTAGATTTAATTATTTTGATATAAAAGCAAAAATGTAATATATATGTATACCAAGTAAATAAAGACATTAATAATAATGAGCTTGGACATATTACATAGTAGTACTATTTAAATGAAAAATAAACTCGTGCTACGGAAAAACATACTTAAAACTCGTAAGAATATATTATATACTTACTTTTATTTTAGTTTATCAGAAAAAACACCCTAACCATGCATAGGTGTATATGGACTAAGTGAAAATCGAACTATTATTTATCGTATAAACTGTATTATAAATATAATACAGTTTATACGATAAATAATAGTATAAAAGTGAGATTTTCACTTTTATACTTTAATTATAATTACCTACTTTACTACTATATTAAACATATAAAAAGAGTTGTAAAGACCATATTTATAGACTATTTTTGCAACAATTTTTGGTGGTAGCGTGATGTTACATAGCCTCTAGCCTTCCTCGACAAATGCGCTATCCAATACTAAAACAATTTTGAGATAAGCGTGATCAACTAAACAAACAAATGAACTCCTCATCTTTACAATATTAGTATATTACTTAAGGTTAATAATATTTAAATATTATTAAACTATTTATTTTTTCCGGTACAGTTTGCTTCGAATTAAAAAATATAAAAATATCACTAGAATTATATGGTACCAGGGTTATGTGCTTCGTAAAATAGTTACTGCGCGTGAAACGACGCATCACCTCACCTTAACGATTAGTTCGCACGAGCCGTTCATTAACTTACAATCGTAAACCTAGAAATAGTAAGAATATCATTTTGCTTTACCGCCATCCACAGATCTTGATAACACTGGATTCTGGCTCATGGGATATTTTTGTCAATCGAGAACAAGGACTGCTAAAATTCAATAGTCGTCTAAATGGACTATGGGAAATAATGTTTCAAGAATGTTTAGTATGACTGCACTGCACTTAGTTTTTAAGCTTTGTTTAGAAACTAATGACCTTTATACATCGTAACTTAAATATGCATATGATTTTATAGGCAAACCAATTACCTTGTAGTTTAAATAATTTAAACGTAATTAATAAAACGTTCCTTAATACCGATGACATAAGCGATAATTATTAGATAAGTCATCGGTTACGTTAAGACAGGACAGAGTGCAGTAACACAAAGCAATTTATCGAAGGAATCGTTCACGGGAGCAAAATCTCAATGATTGGTAATGGATAACCTACCTGGATGTTTTATGTATTTTAGTTCTTAATTTTAAAATGTTGTATTATATATTTATATGTGAAAACTGTTTTAGATTGTGTTTAGTTACCTGTACATTATTTTTTGTTTAATTTATACAACTATCTGTTTGTTTCCCATATAAAATAAAATAAATCCATGGCAATGTTCTCCTATCGGTCTTTGTTTTTAATGGTTATCTAGTTACCAGTGTAATACTTTTACAATTTCTTGGTAAGGTACATACCTATATTTTATATCACCAAACTAAAATGAATTTAATGTTTTTCTTGTAAATTCAAAGTAAAAAATGATGAAATAATTTGAATCTATGAAACTCCATTGATATGAGATCATTAATAGCACGCTCATTAGGCACGTGCCATTAATGACCTTATATCAATGGAGTTTAATATGAAAGTGGGACATCTAATATAATCTTGGAAGGCTTATAAGGAAGTTTTATATTTACATAACTAAAAATAAAATCATTTTAAGTTATTATTTTGATTTGTCTACTTAGCAAAAAAAAAAATGATTTACCTAAAACATATTTGATAATTTAAAAATATTTAAGTATACATTAATCCTATCTCAGTTTCTTGATGGTGCAACAGTACAACGGTTAATTAACTTAGATTTTATTGATGGAAAGTGACTACCCCCGCCCATGAACGCCTGCAACTCAAGAGTCAAAAGCGCATTGCCAGCCTTTGAGGACGCTCTTTTCTTAAAGGTCGTATCGGTCCGGCAAAACCGCAGACGATAACCCGTTCCACAGGTTGGTAGTGCAAAGCAAAAAGTGGGGACGAAAATTTTGCCATGTGGAACGATAGCGGAAAGTTGCGGCCGGTATTAGTCCGAACGATTCCTCGGAGCACTCTCCATGATATATACGATAGAGAATGCAGAGCGAAGCTCCATCTCTACCCAACGCCAAGGGATCGAGCCGGTTGGAGATCTTTAAGCTATCGACGATTCGAGTCACTTTTCTTTGGATACGGTGCAGATAGAGAAGCTGGTACTGAGGTGCCCCTGCAAAGAGATGTAAACAGTATTCCATATGCGGCCGAACTTGCGCCTTCTAGAGTTGGAGGCGGTACACTGCCTCAACCCCGAAACTTGATTTCACTGGATAAGTCTAAATTGGACTAGATTTAGTCGACCTCAATCTGAAACTACCGCTAAGGAAGTTTCAATGTCAGACACATGAAATGGCATCTCCATTACTATCATCGTCCAATCATAAGATAATTTGCATACTCATAAAGAAGAATAATTTCTTAGGTTCATATGGTAGAGGTGCAGTTCCCACACCCGCTCACTTATGTATCACGTATATTTCGAGTATGTTCTGAGTATGTTTTTAGTATTCACATCTAATAAAAGAATTGGTATGAAATAATTTATCTTTTGAAACTATAAATTCTTCTTTAATCATATTCTTCTTTAAATAAAGTGGTGCGAACCAATTGATATCTCCAAGTTCAATTATGCTAGAAAAGTTTCATGATTTCTTGAGCATGTTGCCGCACTGTGGTTAAAATATCAGAAACATTAACGCCATTCTGGTTATGCTATTCCTATGTTACAGTCAAGATATATTAACAACTAAAGTTTTCAAATCTTGAAATACTTTAAACACAAAAAATATTTACGTAAAATCATCATTTGAATTAAAGTGAAAAAAAAGCAATACGCTGATTAAGTTGTAAAGAGTTTTGCCATCGAGTGGGGAAAAAAATACAAGTAGTAAGTATCGATGTCTTATCGGTATCGGTAATCAAACATTTCTTTCAATACTTTTATACTACCATGATTACGATACTTTTGATTCGATACCGTGTCCCTTATCTAACGACTCTAGATCGCTGCGAATCAAAATTGATGGCATGGAATTCATAAGACAATTCGACATGCTAACACATTTTTAGTAAATAAAATATGAATAATTTCTTTACCAAAAATATCATTCAGGGCTTAAATATAACAAAATATATTTTGGAAGAAGTGAATTGGTATTTCTCTCTAGAATACCCACAATTGCTAAGAGTTACCTTTCTTTTTCTAATTATAGCCCGCAGAAATAAAAAGTAACATATTTTTAAATTCAGTAATCAAATTCTACAGCTTCTTGGTATATAATTCTAATTTTATGACTAATATCAAAGATTAACTCATGACTCATTTCAGTTTTCAATAAATGAAACGTCAGCATTCTGAGGAAAAATTAACTTATTAATTACTTATTATTTTAAATAACGAAGAATCCACGGAAATATGAAGCGCATATTAAATCATGAACATCATCAAACGAATTAAAATACACACATAATTAAGAAATTTAAATAATACTCAGCTCTATAATGATGTAACGGCAATTATAGTACGTGTAACCAGTTGTAAATTAGTTGAGTTAATAACGAATGAAGTTATTTATTCCTTCAACGTTATGACTTTACACCATATAATTATATGACTAAGTGTTCTTGTGAGCTGTAGACATTTTACTTTTTATACCCGAGCCGAGTCAAACGGGTAACGAGACCAAGTAGTTTAATTTCACTAGTGAGTTCAATGTGTCGCTCGTCAGTCCTTAAAGCTACTTTAAAGCCATTTAAAAAAATCCTTCACTGGCGCCAGAAGCCTATTCACTGCTGATTGCAAACAATCCTATGTTACGTAATCGCTTACAATCTAACTGTCTAACAGCTTAACAAAGTTATTTATCAAAGCAAGAATTATCTTTTACAAAACATAATAGAGAATAGGGCCGCCGGGTACTAGTGTGCAGAGCGTGCACCCGACACGGGCAGCATTTTCAAGGGGATGGCATGAACAGAAATTGTCGTTTATTATGTCATAATAGTATGCTAAGGAGGGAGCTATATATCATATACCTTATAGAGAATCACCTCATTTTTTCAAATCGGCTAAGAAAGAATTTAATGAACAGTAGTCGTAGTGTTATAATTAAACGTATTTGTTTATTTTAAATTACAAACAAACATTAAAAGAAGTACCTGATATCCGATCTTTTAAGTTCTTTTTAATTTATTATAGGTTGTATTGGCATGAGTGGGCCCTAAAAAGCAAAAAGTATTGAATTTCCTTTTATTGTGTCGGTGTATATGGCCTCCTACGATATTACCTAAATTAGATTAATGTTTTGATAAGGTTCTTAATGTCTTAAATATTTTATAAGATCTTTTTCTTCAAAAAAAATAGAATGAAGATAGACATTGTTATGGACTTATTTTTGATTTGCTGGGCAATATTTTACTAACTACAAGTTAGTAAAATAAATAGCTGTTTAAATGTTAGAACTTACACATAAGTCATGCTTATTTGAAACTTTAGGGTTTGTTAATTTTGTGAAACTTCTTTAGAATTGTTGTAATTTGAAACTCAATGAAACGAAAATGCGTCACAATAAAGAAACAAACACATAAATGTACAGGATTAAGTCGGCGAGAGAATGAGATAGAATACATCACAATTTTTTTTAAATATAATATTTTGACAGTGTCAATATTTTTTTCTTTTTATTTAAGACTAGCTGTTACCCGCGAGTTCGTTCGCGTGGAATTTAAAAATACTGTCTTAGTGGGTTTGACTCTCGGGCCGGGTAAAATTTTATACGGTTTTTTACTTTTGCCGTGTGTGAATTGCACACACACACACTTTTATTTATCTAATTTCTAGCATGTAATTATAAACAAATGGAAAATTCTTTACTGGGTCCGTTTATAGTATAAATAAAAAATGCTTAGCTTACACTTAACATTTTTTCAAAAACTTTAATATTAAGGTGCTTCTACACGGTGCAAGTAACTGCAGCGGGGAAAGACTCGCATTACTTGCGTCAGTACCATACACTAGTTACTTGCACGTTTGGTTTATATAATTTGCGCAAGTAACCCGCGCAACTCGCTGGACCCGCATAGTGCTTTTCGCGAAGCAAATAACCTGAGCAAGCGCCTCAAGCACTCTTTATACTTTAGTATATTAGCAAAACCAATGCACTAGCACTAATGGTACCTACGCGGTACAGGGATATTTATATTTTAAACCTTGCAATAAGTGGAACAAATACTCATTAAAATATTCGATCAATAATGTAAATCATGCACGTAAATACACACATTTATTTATATATAATTATATATATTTTACATCATACAAATATATGTGTATTTAACTTATTATTAACAATTATAGACCAGATGATTGTAATGGGAGTCGATTGTTAAAGGAATGAAGATATCTACTACAGTTCAAGTTTAAAAAGCTACAGTTAGTAGAATAGCAAAGATCGCAACTAGCAAGTATGCACGAAGATAGCGAGAATTAAGTGTACAGAAACTATTAAATTTAAATGCAGATTAGGGAGCTGTTAGATAAATACGATAATTATGAAGATATGTGATTTGAATGATAAAATAACCAGATCTTATGCGTTTGCGTCGCAATAAAAAATGAGTAATACCTATAAAGTTTTAAGTCATAACTTTAAATTACTACTTCGAACAGAAGGTGGAAATAACAACACTATTTAGGTAAACTTTAAACTAGTTGAGGGTAATATTCAGACGCTTCAATATAAATGGTATCTCTTGACTGTTTTTATATTATTTATATTAATATTTCTTGACGTAAACTACATAATAGTTTTTTTAACCTTGTAGTAAAAACAATACGCTTACACTTATTTTATATCTACTAAATTTTATACGTGGTCAGTTCATAAACATACAAACAAAAGATATATTCAATATTACAAAAATAGACCATCTCATAAAAAAAAAATGATTGACGTCTTATTTTCTTTAGATGTTTTCAACAAATTGGATGGTATGTGCACTCGTCATCGTGTGTGTCAGCGTGAGGCAATCCCTTGCTGCGCCTGCTGCACAAGAACAAGAATACCCACCAATGCCGGTAAGTTTTTACTCAAAAAAATTATACGCATATAATTAGTATATCTATTGTAACTCTAAAACTTGCTTCAAATAGGATCACTTCGTTATCCGTCTGTCCGTAGTGTAGTTTGTAGTGTCTTGAGATATTAACTTAAAATTAAATGTATAGTAGCGTTTGCCCACAGATTTGGTCGCGTAATATCAATTTTGTCAAGTAACTTGGCCGGGATAAATAGTATCTATCTATGTGCCAAATCTCGTCGAGATCCAGAAAGCCGCTAAAGAAATTATAAAAAGTTTAAACAATAGGTATCTAATTATTATTATTTTTGATAGAGAATATAATTATAGTGACAATTGTTCCCCATTCAAATTTGCACTCCATTGCAAACTTTTCAAAAAAATATTATTATCAAAAGATTTTTATTACTTACTGTTTTTGTTCCTTTTATAAAAAGTATTTATTGTGAGTTTGAAAACGCTACTTTTTTATTGGGACTAATACCACCCACACGCCCACCACTGAAATTCCTGTACACCAGGATCCACAGCAGTGACCCACGAACACACCGAGATATGACACTCGGGAAGTCCCAGGAAGAAATTAAACTGTCTATGAACCCGCAACGAAATTAATCAGAAGAAAATTGGAGGAGTTGGAAATACAGTAAATCCACTTCCCTCCTTAGCAAAGCGGGAGACAAAATGAAGTAAAATGGGCATACACCCTTTTAAACAGGGAAGCACCACGGCTACAAAATATTACGGGTCCTACGTGAGCTGTATTTGATTTCTATAATATGTATGGCAGAATCGCGGAAATTCACCCTAGTTGACAAAAGATCCCCATAGTATACCGCCCCAGATGTCACCTGCAAGCTATTCAGCATTATATTACGTTCATTATACCAAAGACTACATTCCCAGAGGATATGATGAGCAGACTGTTCATAGTGAGAGTTAGGTGTTGAGCATTGACACAATGGTGACTCGACTAATTTAAATCAATAAAGCTTGCTCTTAAAGTTACCATGACCCGTAAGAAATTGAGCGACACAGTGATCCACCTCAAGCCATGTCCTCGACAACCGTTAGCGAACAGATGGAAAGAATTGGTAAAGATGGCGCCCCTTGGATGATTCATTCCAGCGTTGTTGCCATTCGTCTATGAGGTCATTATAGACATCGGACTGCTGTCGAAGCAATCTTGTAATTTTATCGCGATCCCGCGCGCCCAAAAAATCGCATTCCATGTTTTGTTGTCTTGAATAGTACATGGCTGCACGTCTCTGCACCTCGCAATCGACCGGAAGCACACACGCCAACACCGGTAAAGCCTCAGTGCTAACCGTCCTATATGCCTTGCACGAGAATAACAGTGCGAGTCGTTGGCCTTGTAACAGTTTGCGACGGACAGCGCCTACGGTCGCCCTATCGGCCCATGCAGGTGCACCATAGCACATAGAACCTAAATAAGTAGCTCCGTAAATGATCTTTAATGTATTAAATTATAGACCCCATGTCGCAGTTGATATCCTTGTCAATGCACAGAAACTCTTTTTAGACTTTTCATTAACTATTTTAATATGTTCGATAAATGAAAAGTTTCTTTCTAAAACTAATCCTAGGTAACACACAGGTTTTATTTTTTACGGTAACATTGTCAAATCTAATGCTTGGCGGTAATTTGAGGTTACCTTTTAAAAGTAGCTGGATGGTTTTGTTGGGTGCAAAAGTTAAGCGATTACGTTCACCCCATTGAGATATCAAGTTCAAACATCTATTGGCTAATCTCTCAAGCCCCGCCCTAGTATCAGATTCCACCAGTAATAAGCCGTCATCAGCATACGCGTTCAGAGTACATCGGGATGGTATTGGTATCGCAAGAAAATCGTTGAAGCCGATATTCCACAAGTATGGACCTAGCACCGATCCCTGAGGACATCCCATTGTAAGCGCCTTCGACACAGAATGATAACCAAGTCTTCGTTTAGTTGTAACTTGTGAAAAGTACGAAGAGATAATGGAATAAATATTTTTAAAACACCCCCGTGATTTTAATTTCAGCAACAGCATGCGTTATCGAAGGCGCCAGATACATCTAAGAAAATAGCCAGCACGTATTGAAATTTTGACTCTGTGACAAACTTTCTAACCGATATAACAGCGTCAGTTGTCGATTTACCCAACGTAAATCCAAATTGTCTATTATGAAATTTGACTTCACCTGGCAGAAGCCGGGGCACTACAAGACGAAAGCTTTCCTAACGATGGTAACTATGTGATTGGTCGGTAGGATTTAGGATCATCCGGTGGCTTGTCGCCACTTTTTGGTATTATACGAATATTACCGCACCGCCATATACGAGGAAATATTCCTTCAGCAATGCAACATTTAAAGACAGTGAAAATCGTGTCACCCGAAAGTTTACAAGCTTCTTTTATCATTTTGTTAGATATTTTATCATCGCCCGAAGCCTTGTTTAGCGGCAAGGATCTAATGATACCAACCTACTACCTAAAATAACATAGTTTCATATAAAGAAAACGCTACTACCAAAAATAACATAGTTTCATATAAATTTCCAAACCCCATTTTGCATAGGGGTGGAATTTTTAAAAACCCCTATTAGTGCACCCCTACGTCACCTAACGAACATTTGTGCAAATTTCAGGCAGGGGCGCTTAAACCTTCAATTTTAATAATTGGCAAGTAAATCAAAACCTACAAGTTTAAGACTCTATTTGCAAGTTGGACAACCTATCTACATACAACTTTGTACCATAGCTTCGGCGCGCGAGTAAGACTCGACTTTGTAAAGGCTTTTTAGTCATATAAGGTGCAAACCAATTTATATATAGGGATCTCGAACAAACGCATTCAAATAATAGCCTTGTATTGTGCCTTAGATGTTATACATTACTGCTTACTTTCTAATCTGTTTACAAACAAGTACAAAGTCTTTAACTATTCTGTCTTCGTTTATTTATATGTTAATAAATAGATATGTCCATATATGAAAGCTTTTTAGCGATAGAGCTTTTTAAGGAAAGGATCAAGGAACCAAATGGGGCGTGGTATCCGTGGTGGCATTTTGTGTTTACGTTTGATGACACATTACCTACAGTCTTAAATCATCGTTAAAATTGAAATAACATATGGCAGTGTATGTAACCTTTGTTTTTACAACTAATAGTTGCCTGCATTAACATAATACCAAGACTGCAAGGATGTTCGTCGACAATTATTTAAACAAAACGTGAATACCTTTGACCTGTGGCATTATGACTATGGCAAGTTTAACTAAGTACATGTTAAATTACGACATATTCAAGCTAAGAATAACATGAGGATTCACCAATACCACAGCGAATGAGTCATTTACATAGATTTCAGATTTCGTTGTGTATAATGACTTTTAGGGATTTTAATTGATTATAGAGTTTATTGTTATTAATTTTTGTTTTAAATTTTTTATTTTATTTTATTTATTTATTTAAATATAAGAAATTTTCAAAAAGCTACACACTAAATATAATTATTACACAACTAATGGCTAAATAATTAATGGCTTAGTAGGTTTTTGCTTTCTAATTAAGATGACTGTTTCATCTTTAAATACTCCTAGGCCATTAGCGGTCTACATATTTGACTTTACTACGAAACGCACAAATAAAAGTTTGCAAATGGGTAGACATAAGATCGATATAAACTGGTTAAATAAGTTCAATGGACATTGTTGTGTAGTCAGTGTATTAGGATAAATAGACGTCTATAGGTACGAGACGTCTTCCAATAATTAGCTTTAATTATTTATGATTATTATTATTAGGCAACCTTTTGTTTTAGTAGCTAAATACTCTAAAATACTCTTTCTTACAAACAACTCTCTTACAAACCGTCGATTTCAATTTTTATAATTTTCATATACAGTGTCACACTCACAATTAAGACGAATCTAATGTCACCAAATTTTATCCATCAAACCGTTTAGGCTACAGAGAGTGCCAAAGAAATATACGTAGGTAAACTAGTTGTCCCGAATTCAGACACACGTCTACAAGCCGAAAATTTCAAACTTTTCATTTAATTGAAACCATTCTCGAATCCACTTGTACACACAAAATTTTCTATCATAATCAGTTCAGCCGTTTAGGGGGAGTTCAGTCACATACACATGCACAGAAGAATATACAGATACACAGAAAAAGATATATAAAGACACCTTCATACCTACACTCGAAAAAATAACAATCCTTACAGCGCAGCCTACGCTTTTATTAGTTGCATCGTTACCGTGATTTTGCTTAAAATGAGTGTTTTAACGTTGAAGGGCTTTTAATTAAAACTATTTTCAAATATAATTTAACCTATACATATAAATAAATAGTTTTATATATTCAACAAATGTAAGCTGAATCTAATAAATATTTATAGTGGTTTAGGTTTTGAAAAATTTTTATATTTTGTAGAGTTCTAGAACTTTAATTGTTTTACTGCAATAATTATGCCGTGAATTTTCATGCGCATCTATTTTGCCTTGATGTTAAAAAGGCCATCGTATGTTACGATCTGCGTAGCTTTAGATCCATTTCCCAAAGCCTTCAGGGCTTTGGGAAATGGATCTAAAGTTGTGATACTGAAAACGTTCACTTTATTAAATGATATATTCATGAAATTAAAATATCAGAGTTCACCGACATAAACTTTGACTGCACGGATGGCGTAGTGGTTTAAGCGGTCACCACGCCGCTTCCTACTACGCCGAGTGTTGTGGGTTCAAACCCCACATGGGACGACACTTTGTGTAATCCACAAATTGTTGTTCTGAGTCTGGGTGTTCTTTGTGTCCGTTTCATGTATGTTTGTAAAGTCCCCCGCGACACAGGATTTATTCCTAATGCGGGAGTTGTCTTTTTGAGAAAAAAAAAAAAAAAAACTTGTACACACCCTACAAAATTACGACTTAAATACTTAAATTTGTTTTTTAAAGTGTTGATATATTTGCTTTTTATATACTTAGTTTTTAAGATAAGTATAATGGCTTTATTTCAAGCTAACGTAACGATTTATGCCCTCAAGGACTTAATGTAATGATAATGTCAAGATCGTAATAATGATTACGCTAAGTTTTTGTATTTGATGGCTGAGAAAATCTGTTGTGGTCGAATTTCAACTCTTAAATATGGATAAAGTATTGTTTAGGTTCATTTTATCTCATGAGACAAAAAAGTCGCAAAAAATTAAGCACTTCAATGAGATAAACTGATAGCTGATAGCTTGGTCATGATATTGGAATGACTCATAATGTCTGCCGCTATAAAACTGTAAGTAAAAGATTAATTTCTTATCTCTTAAGGACATTAGTTGCTTATCGTAGTATAAGAAACTATGAGACTCTGTCTTCCTTTCAGGAGATACATGCCTTTCTCTTTCAAGTACTTACTTCCGATTTTCCCGTCCTTAATTCTCAAAGTTGAAGGCTAATTACGCTTGCCATAATTACGAGAGTTTGACTTCATTATAGTTGTCAGAATATAGGTGTTAAATATGGCCCAGTATCGTATTTACTAACGATACTAATAATATACAATAACGATAAGATACTAACTAATCAACATCACTCCGAACTCTAAGACTCGTCATTAGTTACCTATCTACTCTTGATTAGCGATTCATAACATATAATTAAGCAATTTAAAGCATGCATCTTTTCAGAACATATAGAAATATTTTTTTGTTAAAACGTTTTTTTTTTTCTAAACCATTGAAATATCATATCATAACAATTAAATGTCATCTAAGGTCGAGACTGACCTTAAACTACATTAGTGCCGTTGTCTATTATCATACCATCGATATAGTATTGTTCGTCTTCAGCGAAGTATACAGGCACGTCCGTGCACTATCGGGTCCATCTTAGTAACATTATGTTAATCATGTGAACATCACAGCGCAAACTTGACTAATTGGATACAATTGCGTTTAACCGCCTTTGTGAGCGTTATATCGCTTATCTTGATTAATTGTGCTATACAATAAACACTAAATATATCTCATACGTATTCTGTAAACACTATTCTGAAATTAAAATTTTGTTCCTTTATGTATATTTTATTTTCTTATTGTGTTTGCTTTAATAATTATTCTGTATTTCAAGAGCATTTTGCATAAGAAGTATGTTACATTTCAAAATGATAAATTGGGTCAGGCTCAGCCAGCCTCAAATGAGATTGGTGAAATCTATATGGTAAATTTAAAAACAATTTTTCACGCGTATATTTTCAATGAATATGTTGCCAGTTACATTTTCTACATGAGCGATTAGTCCAAAAGTCAAGCTATACAAATAAAATCCAAAACAATTTTTTTCAAAACGAAGTTTCAATCAATTTTGTTTGGTAAAAATTCAAATTCTACTTCGGTTGCGTTTCTTGTTTCTCTTTTTATCAAACCATAGACTAAGTGGTTAAATTACTATTTTCTTATTTTTTTGTAATATCTTTCATTTCTAGTATTACATCTATGCAATTGTCCTTTTATACAATTGCTTAAACTTATATTAATTATTTACAGAGCTTGTTTACATATTAGGGCACGATTTTGATTGAGTGGTTACTATGATAATTGAGGATACTAATAAGAATATTTGATTAGGTAATTACGATAGAGGCTTTGAACGGAGTTTTTGAAATCGTAGACAGATGAAATAATTATATTATTTAAAAAATATATCGTTTCTTTTATATTTATAAAAGTACGTAAACCATACCATTGGTGGTTAAGGGAAGCAATCAATATAAACATACATTATACTTCTTCAGTAAAAAGAGGTCACCTTAGTCTATAATGGCTGGCATACTTAAGTCTTACTTCAGTTATCGAATTCGAAAATCCTCTGTTATTGATGCAACGACATCGAATATCTAGTTAACTGAAAAAAAACAACATTTATGCCTCATGGATATGCTACTTTGTTTTATTGAGTACCTTAAGTCACCAAGATACGGTTCTTAACGTCAGATAAAACCTTATCACTAACAATTCAAGAACATTGAAATCTCAAGTGTATTCTGAAAACAATGATGTACTTATGCGGTTTTTGGGGCGATTTTATCTTAATGATATTACTGTGAACTAAGTTTTTTTTCTTGTCAGACTCATTCGCCTCTTTGTAATAATAACGTGACATCTCTTAAAAAAATAACGGTCTTAAAAAAAATTATTGTTCTCATTACAGTTACATTTCTTCTTCTCGTTGTTGTGTAGTGAAATATTCCAGTGTACGTTTCAGTAAAATGCAATTCAGTAAATAATGTTTTTTACGTAATGAAACCATGCAGCATACTTTCCAACGTAATATCAACGACATCTGCTTATCAGTTATACCTCTGCTTATGTTGCAATTTACCAAAAGCAACGCTGATAAGTATATGTAGAAATACATAATTATTAAGACATGCACATCTTAAACAATCTCTGTAGAACAGAGTCGTGAAGTGCTTTATCTTCTCAGTGATACATCGTGCTAAATGGAATAATTAGAATACTTATTTGTTTAACAACGAGGATAACGTATAAGCAACATTAAATTTTTACATAAAGTTGTACTTTTTAAGTCGTTTATTTTTATTAAAGATCGACATACTTAACCAGAATTGTTCGGGTCATGAAATATACTTCTAAAACTAACACGCTTACCAAAACATATTTTTGTTACAGTACGAATACAAATATGATGTAGAAGATCAAGAGAAGGCTCTCTACTTCGGAGCAAATTCGCAAGGAGACGCCCAAGGCAAAGTAATTGGAGGTTACCGAGTCCTTCTACCTGACGGTCGCCTTATGACAGTAGAATACACTGTAGAAGGCGATAGTGGTTTCGTTCCTAAGATCACATTTGAAGACAACGCTAATCCCTTCGGAAAAGGCAAAAAGTAATCTATCGTCAATAAGACTGGATGCCCTTTTGATTGATACTTCAAATGCTAACTGGAAATTGATTTGTGAATGTCATGCATTGATTTGTAAAATAAGTAAAAGCGAGGATGTTGTGTACTCAGTTTCAAAACTAGCTGGCATTAATAAAATTAAATTTATACATACATCACCACCACCCTAATTAAATATATGTATATTTAATTGAAATGCTAGTAAGTTTGTAAATATTATAATGTGCTATTCTTTTGCATGTTATTCAAAAATCAACATAGAGTCTGAAAAAATATTTTCGTTTTCAACGCAAAAATCATCTGCTACTGCCTAAATTACAGTATGTAGATAGAGGAGTTGTATAAGACAACCTAACTTCTATTTTTTTAAAGAATATTGGATACTACGAGTGATATTTTTGTGATAATAAAATAGTAAGTTTACTGTAATTTAAGCCGAATTTTTATTTACCAGGCTGAGTTCAGAAGAACGAAAATAGTTTTTTAACTTTCCTTATAATACCGAACACTTATAATCCTACTTTTAGACATAAGTACGATTTTAAAAATGTAGATTATAGTGGAAAACCATTCGCATTAGAAAATGTATAGTCAGGGATCTCTTAAACATTGATGTAGTTACAAAAAGATCGAGTTACCATTTTCTGTTATGAACGGTTTAGTATAAGCCAGGCCATTAATTATAAACAAACATACATTATATGGTAAATTTCGACTTGTTCTTAATTCAATGTAAATGTTTATAGTAATAAATATTTTTTATAAATATTTTTTGTATTGAATTGCCACTTGTTTTATTTTATCCTGGAAATATACTTTAAAAAGTTGAAAAACTTGTTTTTGGATTTTAACAAAAGCGTTTAGAATAATTCAGCGCCGAGTCATCTTCGTCTCCAGTACCCATCCCGCCAATAACAACAACATCTTTAGCCAACATCACAGCTACACAAAATATGGCGGCGTCCCACTCTCTCGGCGAAAGGCTTCCCGCACCGAAGAATTTATGATTCTACTAGCTTATCTGAATACACCATACTGAATACATTTATCAAGAATTGTCAATAAATAGTACAAATGTTGAAAAACTATTCAATGTTTAATGTAAAGTCATAAGTATACTAATAAGTTTCTAAAAGGTTAGACAGTTTTAAAAGCTATCACGCACAGACATTCAGGTGAAACAACACTTTCATTTTATTAAACAGACATTTGGTAACAATTTGTAATGAAAGTACACATGTTCGTACTATAATTTTTGCATCATCATGACGTAAATTATACAAAAAAACACGTTTATAATTTTAATTGTTGATGTTTTCAGCGTTAAGATATGCAGTTTAACTTGAGTTCAACATACAATTCATATGAAAAACAGTTTTTTATTAAGGAAGTGGTAATGTAAATGGCATACGAATTTAATTGAATAATTAAGTAGATAATTGTAGACATTAATTTAAAGTTATCCTAATTGTTTGTTAAACAAGTAAACAAATTAACCAGTCCCTTTACAATTTGACACCTGAGTAAATAAAATTGAAATTTTTTTTCATTAAAATTCAGGGCATCGTCGTGAATACTTTTAGAGCCAATGATCATTTTATATTTTTATCAGCCCCATTATCTTCCTAATCAGCGATTTCCTTTTCATCATTTTTTTTGGTAAAGTTATGTTTTTTTATGAAATTATCGTTTCATCTAATTGTAGTAACATGTTAGAGCGTAAATAATGCTATGGTGACGTCAAAAAGCTTATTTCCGCTTGTGTGGATCGTGCTTTATGGTTCGGTGTTCAGTCTTACGTGAAGGACATTTTTTTGTTTTTGAAAATGGTATAAATTTAAAGGCACCTGGAAGATTTTTTTAATACTGTCATACCTTGATAGTCAACACCCTAGGATTCGTTACTAAAGTGCTAATGTTCGGGTTATAGGCTATCGACTAATTTAAAAAGCTCTAGAACTTTGAGAATAATTCAGTCATTTGGTAATCGCTCATTCTGATTATTATAATGTTACTCACACAATTTTTGTTTACCTCAGTTATGCTTTATTTTCGCAAGCTTTTGTATTGTAAGCTACTTGAGTATTTATTTTAAGGTTACCAGCCTATTACTTTTTTAATTATCGGTTAAGCAATGACTAAAGTGGCGCTCTATAGCTGCAAATCCTAAGTCATCTTTTTAAAATTACAGACATGGTTCTAGTTGCTATATTCATTTGTCTAGATGAAATGATTTGCTTTCGGACAGAGTTCATTCGAATACTATTCATAACTCTGTGTTTAGTTAGAAAATTATGTGGGTAACAAGATCTTTTCATCATTCATCAAGCTGAGGATGTTACACTGTACCCATCAATGCCAAGTGCTAGTTTTCTATAACTAGGGTTAGTTCTTGGACTTTTAAGCACTGCATTGAGCACTACCTTATACATTACATGTGCATTATAGCAATATAACATAATATTCTCTTTTTAACTTCACTCGATTCTAATATTTCAATAAATTTAACAGAAACCAAAATGAAAATACGCATGAAATAATAATATAAAATTGACAGAATCCTAATTTAAATGTAATATATAATTGTTTTTTTTTGTAACAGTATTTATTTATGGCCGGACTGTGTTAAAGAATACACAAGTGTTTCATTATTACGGTTATAGTAAAAAAAAATGAGACAAGGTGTTTCAAAATTTACTTCTTTAAACGTAATTAATATAATTATTTATCGATGTACTGCAAAAAGAAGGAAAACTTGATACAAACCCTTTTTTTTTTTTTTTTTTTTTAACGTGTGGAAATCCCCTCGGACCGTCACCCCTCCGGGGTTTGCGGCGGGGTGGTGTGTCGGACTCGGACCGACTAAAACCACACGGTGTGCCACTCTGCGCCTGTAACAGGAGGGATCCGGGAACAGCTGTTGTTAAGACATCCGGACCCCTCCTAGCGCCAGCCCGCTCCTGGTGCGGGCTCCGTCTCAATGTAGATGTTCCTCTCTTTAGGCGACGTCCGGCACACGCGGACGCCGCCCCCTCGCGGCTGGCCAACTAATGCGGGTGGAGGGGAAACCCACCCCGTCCACCCGCGGCCACACTCAGGGCGGCATGAGGCTGTGGTAGGCGGGCCTCCGCCGCCCGGTTCGCCGGCGGCGGATCGGGTCCGAGTGGAGGTCGTCCTCCCGGGCCCTCTCCGCCGCCTCCTTCCGCGAGATTACTACCTCGCAGAAGGTTGCGACCGCGGTAAAACAACTGTCGCTACCGGCCATGGAGCGTACTACGGCCGGTAGCGAGAGATCCACTCCGATGACTGCAGTGAGGGCCCGGCGCTGCGCCGCCCATGCGGGGCAGACCGCCAGCGTGTGCTGGGCCGAGTCCTCACTGCAGTCGCAGTGGTGGCAGGCGGGACTCAGTTCCCTCCTAGCGACCGTGTGCAGGTACTTTCCGAAGCAACCATGCCCGGAAAGCACCTGCGTCAGCCGGAAGGAAAGGGTCCCGTGCTGCCGCCCTGCCCACTCGGCGATGACCGGCTGGAGAGCCTCCACGGCGGCAAAGCCAGCGCGTGGAGTCTCCAGCCGGAACGACCAACGAGCCATCGTGGCTCGGCGAGCGGCTTCGCGCCACTCGCGCACATCCTCAGGCGGAGGGCGAAATCCGCTCTCCGCCCGGAAGTCAGCCACTCGCCGATAAACTTCGGCGAGCACTTCCGCCTCCAAATCCCACGGGGGAGTTCCGGCCAATGCGCATGCCACCTCCGTCGAAACGGTGCGGTAACCGCGTATGGCTCTGACCGCCATTACCCTCTGAGGGCGCCAGAGGCGTACCCTATTCTGGGCGGTCAGAGCCGCCGCCCACACCGGTGCACCGTACAGTGCCATTGACCGGACAACCCCCGTGTACAGCCGTCTTGTCGCGACGCTGGGTCCACCCATATTGGGCAAGAGTCGCCCTAGGGCAGACGCAGCGCCGACCAGCTTTGGAGCAAGCTGTCGGAAGTGCTCGTCGAAGAGCCACCTCCCGTCGAGGATCAGGCCCAGATATTTCATCTGGGCCCGAACCGGTACGAGGACCGAGTTGACCACTATTGAGGCGCCAGGGGGTGGACCACGACGGGGCCCATGGAATAACAGGGCCTCCGTCTTATCGAGGGCCACCCGTAAGCCCAGCGCCTCAATGCGCCCGACCACCAGGGAGACTCCCCCTGTGGCCAGGCGCGCCGCCTCTTGGAAGTTTGCCCCCCGGGCTGTCACGAGGGTATCGTCTGCGTAACAGATTACACCCAGCCCGGGGGGGAAATCGGCGCGAAGGGCCCAGTCGTACCCTATGTTCCACAAGAGGGGTCCAAGAACAGACCCCTGTGGAACACCGCACGACATGGGCCGACACCTCAGGTTACCTTCTCGGTCCTCGTACACGACGGTACGCTCCTCTAAATAGTCTGCCACCAGCCGCCTCAGGTACTTTGGCACCCCATGATAGTGGAGTGCTTCCCTGATGCAGCTGAATGGCAGACTATTGAATGCGTTGGCGATGTCTAATGACACCGCCAACAGCACGCCGCCACAGCTCACGGCCTCTTCGGTCACGGCCCTCAGGCGCAACACGGCGTCGACTGTCGAACGCCCCGCCCGAAAACCAAATTGGGCGTCCGACAGATCGGGGCCCACCTCGCAGAGGTGCCGGACGATGCGGGCAGAAAGAACCCTCTCAAACAATTTGCCCGCCTCGTCCAGCAGCACGATGGGCCTATAGGCCGCGACCGAATCGGCAGGCCGTCCCGGCTTCCTCAATAGGACCAGCTTCCCGCTCTTCCAGCACTCAGGGAAGCGTCCCGACGCCAAGCTAGCGTCGAACACCTCCCCGAGGCGGTCTGCCATGTGGTTGAGGGCCAGGGCCAGCACTCGGGCCGGTACCCCGTCTGGCCCAGGGGCGGTGTTCTTGGAACGGATCCGTAGAACAGCCGCCCCTACCTCCGAATCCCGGACGGGCGGAACATTGTCCTCCCCGTGCTCCCCGTCGTCTCCGGCCAGGGAGGCCATCGACGGGGGAGTGTGTTCCGCTCGTTGTGGGAAAAGGCCCTCAACCACTTCTCGCAGGAAGCTGGGCTGGAGAGTCTCCGTAAGGGGGGGGCCCGACGCGCGGAGCTTTTGTCGCACCGCGCGGTAAGGGCGACCCCAGGGGTCACGATTAAGACCCTCCAGCATCTCCTGTCTCTTTTCCTCTTTGGCGCGGCTAATGGCCAGCTTCAGAGTTTTCCGAGCCCGTCGGTACTCCTCATGAAGCCGGTCCTCCTCACCGTCTCCACGGTGACGCCGCCGACTGCGCGTGTAGGACCTCCGGGCACGTGTACAGGCCGCACGGAGGTCCGCCAGCTCCTGGGACCACCAGTAGACCTCCTTCCTTGGAGGCCGACGACCTCGAACGCGGGGCATGGCCGCATCGCATACATGCGTAATCGCATCGCGAAAGCGGCCAGCCCCCACGTCGACCTCCTCGGTCGGGGCCTGAGGAGACAGCCACGAGTGAATTATGGCTGCCTCCTCTAGTAGGTCCCGGTTCAGCCTGGCAACAGCCCACCGCGGAAAGCGGGATAAACGCCGCGCCACGTGACCCCTACTGGAGTCCTGGGTCCGGGAGAGCTCAAATCGGATATACAGGTGATCCGAGAGCGTCTCAACCTCTTCCAGGACACGCCAGTTCCTTACTCGTGCGGCGAGGGCAGGGGTAGCGAACGAGAGGTCCACTATCGACCCCCCCTGCTGTCGCACGCACGTGTTGGTGGAGCCTCTGTTTAGAAGACAGAGGCCCACCGAGGCCGCCCACTCCTCTACGGCCTCGCCCCTGGCGTCCGTCCTGGGGGAACCCCACGCAATGGACTTTGCGTTGAAGTCCCCCAGCACAAGGACGTGCCCAGACGCTAGTCGCCGTATCGAGGTCTCCAAGCTGGTCAGGAAAACCTCGAAGTCGTTCAAACTCCGGTTGGGGGAGAAATAGACACCATATATGGTGATCCCCCCCCACTCGACGGCAACATATCCAGTGCCCTTGTCTCTTAGCGACAAGGGCGGGGAATGAGCCGTCGTGGAACCGACGACTGCCACGGAGCCGTCCCAGTCACCCATCCAGTTTGGACGGGGAGGGACAGAATAGGGCTCCGCGACTACGGCAACACCTATCGACCACTGTGCCATGGTTTGCAGGAAGAGATCCTGCGCCGCGGCACAGTGGTTCAGGTTCGTCTGGACCAGGAGGTTGGAGACTTGATCCATTACTGGATCGTCTCTACAACCTCCTCCATGGGCGACGACGTCGACGCACGAACTATATCGGAGGCAGCCTGGGTCGACTGGCTAACCCCCGACGTCTGCCGAGAACTGCGGGGAGGCTTGCAGCCTCTCTGCCCCATCTGATGATTGGCGGGCTTATTGCCCGCCGCACACACTGGGCAGTGAGGGGCGGCAGAGCATTCTGCCGCCTTATGCCCCGGTTGACCGCAGCGGAAACACAGTCCGCCGCAGTCAAAACAACTGTCGCACTTGACGCGCGTGTGTCCCGTGGCCAGGCATTTAAAACACCTCATCGGTCTCGCCGCCAGGACTGTGATCCTGGCGCTCACGAAACCGATGAGCAGCCTGCCGGCGTCGGCCAATACTTTGGCCGACGCTACGGGACAGCTGACCCACACGGCGCCAAGCCCTCCTGGACCGGGGCGGATGGTGCCGACCCTGACGTTGTCCGCGCTGCACCCCGTCTTCTCCCGGATTACAGCGCGGACATCTTCGGCCGTCACTGAGTCGTCCAGGCCCGAGATGCGCAGTTCCGCGCACTTGGTAGGCCTGGCGACCCTGACACCATCAGTGGCCGCAAATATTCCCCGCAGCCTCTCGGCGAAGGAGTCCGCCGTCTTTGCGCCTTCAGCCCCAGGGAACTCGAGGACTCGAGCTCCCGTCTGGGCGAGGCGCATCCTGACCCCCACCGTTCCAAAGTCGCTAGCGAGGCTGTCCCGGGCCTTTTTAAACACGGCCGCGTAGGACAGCCCGCCGTCCGCCGCCTCCGGGGACACGGTCACCACTACAGCCGCGGTTTTGGGCGGCTGCAGCTTCCGCGGCCTCTTTGTGGAGGCCGTTGCCACCGGTGGCGAAGGCTGGGCCTGGGCTGCTTTTTTGGCAGCCTTTTTGGCCCGCCTTCGGGACTTCTTGGAGCCCCTCGCCTCCTGCCAACCCTCGTTGGAGGGGGCAGGTGCGGAGGGGCCCGGCAGGGGTGTCGGAGTGGGGAGCGGAGGGAATGCCACTCCGCTCCTCGGCGCCGTTTTAGTCCCCGTCTTGGCCGGCGCCTGGGGATGTGCCTTGGCCGGCGCCTTAGCCGGTGCCTTGGCCGGCGCCTGGGCCGGTGCCTTGGCCCCCCTCCTCGGCTTTTGGGGAGCCGATGGAGTCGGGGCAGACGCCGCCGCCGCGTAGGAGACGCGGCCTCCCACTACGGGGAGCGCGGTCGGAGCGGCGGCCTTAGGCCGCTGTGTCGACGCGAGCGGGGGGCGCATACTCGGCGCAGGAGGCAATCTCGCCTCCAGGCCAGCCAGGCGTCCGTCCAGCATATTCCCAACTGCGATGAGGATTTCTCGCAGTTGGGAGTCAAATGCCCCTGAGTTGGTGGTAGGGGCAGGCTGGGACGCGGACGGGGCTTCCCGCTCGGGGAGGTTCGCCTGGAAGCGGGCGAACTGAGCGCTCAGCTCGTTCACCCGCTCCGTCAGCTTCTCGTTGGCCACCTGCAGGCGAGAGACGTCGCCCGCTAGGCCCTCCACGACCTCCGACAAAGCGGAGGAGGAGTCCTTAAGGGCCCTCACAAACGAGCCCTTAAGGTTCACGGATTTGGTGGCCACCTTGTTGATGACGGCCACCGCCGCTTTCGCCCTCTCCTGCACGGACACGGGAGCCTGGGGGGCATTTCCCCCCACCGGCTCCCGAACCTTGAGCAGGAGATCCGCGATCTCCTCCTCCGCTACGGCCTCGCCGTCCACCCGTACACTTCTGTAGGACTCCGCGTTTGAGAACGCGGAGCCTGACGGGGTTAAGACCGGGGCCGAGGCCGGTTTGCGCGCCCTCCCTCGGCGGCTGCTTGCCACCTTCGGTGGCATCATCTCCTGGGACGTGTCGGTTTCCTCGTCCCTGGAGCGTCCTCGTTTCCGGCTGTGAAACCCTATACCAACCCGTCCGACCAGCGTGTTATAGTAGGCCAAAACCTCCTTTCTAAGTAGAGGCCTATGTCCAGCAGTGGACTATTAAAGGCTGTTGATGTGATTGATGATGATGTAATCTATAGACGTACTTCTAGTAGATTCTAATTGTTACTTTTGTAAAGTTGTGAACAGATTACCAAGGAAACATGATAATAGCTATGTCAATAGTAAAGTAGCTAAGCAATAAATAAAATATACTGGCCTTGTCGGCGAGACGGGTCATGATGACCGCGGTCGCGTCAGTGTCGAACTGTGGTCGCCCAGCGCGTCCCACCATCTGAAGTACTGTGCTGATACTGTACTCCTGTTTAACAGAAGTTATCAAATGTAACAACCATCAACTTGAAGTCTTGAACACATTTTCACATTCCACCTTACTTAGTATTTTCATCAAAACTATATCGTGTTCATATAAAAGTTGTCTCTTACAACTATTTTTAAATCAGTGTAAAGTCCTATTTTCTACTAATGTGTTTTACATTTGCAATAAATTATTTAAAAATTATAAAATTCAAGACTGCCGGTGGTGCACTGGTAGCGTATGATACTGCTGTTCTGAGGTCTCGGGTTTGTTTCACGGGTCGGATCAAATGTTTGTTCCGAGTTCGGGTGTTTTCTATGTGTAATATGTATGTATTGACAAAAAAAAGTATTTAAGAATTATATTAGTCAATATATTTTGCCTACTACAAGCTCTGCTAAGTTTCTATCAAGATGGTATCGTGTGTTAGATATCAGAAATATTATATTATAACAAATAAATAATATGTTGCTTGCTATTACTCTTCTTAAACCGATTAAAACTTTATATTTACTTATTTATTTACATTACATAGGTATAAACTTACAGGTTACAGGTTCGAATGGCTCGCTTCTGTGGTCGAACGAGGCGGAGCCTGTATTTCGACTATCTGCTCGATCTCCTCAATGTACAATCCATTTAGCCTCACTATTATACATTCTTACTTGTGCTAAATAATGTCAAAATCAGTGTACCATGAACAATTAATTTGTGCACACGTGGTCTTTAATGTATGTGTGTGTGAGTTTGTATGTATGTATATTTGTTTGTGTAGGTATGTGTTTGTAACTATTTATTGATTAATGTACATGGGTTTGACAGTCTCTTCATAGCCGAGTTTTTGTAGGTAATCAAATTTTAAAAACTAGGATATGATAGAAATAAAAGATTGATACTTTCAATTTTTTATTTCTATCATATTGAAAAACGAGAAGCTTTGATAACAAAATTACAAAGCTGTTCTTTAAAGTTTTGTAGCTGCAACAGTTAAAAAATTTCAGAAAAAAATATTGGGGCTCCAAAGCATAATACAATGTACTTAATTAGTGTAAAAACGTATCATTGACATGGCACATCACACAATGTTCTATTTAGTAATGTGAAATTGACATTAAGCCCTATCTAACGGATATTCAGTACGTCACATAAAGTTTGATAATTACCTGAAAAGTTCCATTTACATATTGTTGAGTATTCTTGACGATCACTAGATGAGCTGGTAAGTTAACACCCATAGCTGAAAATGTATGAATGATCTTACAATGTCATTTATTAGAAACACACGGCGACATAAGCCCGTACAACAATTGATAAAAGGTAATATTATATTATACGGTGCGCTTTCACCAGAATCTTCTGTTATAACTGAGATGGAAAAAGTTTTCCTACCAGATATATTGACTATACTAGTTTCAATATTCTACCTCAACTTATCTCATGGTGTATGGGACGTTGTAACGAATACTAAAATAGTGTATTCAGACCATCATTCTGAGTCGAAAATCATTGGAATTTTCAGCCGTAAATTAGATTTTTTTTTAATTTCCAATGCTTTTAGTTAAAAAGGATATCACAATGAGTAAACAGAACGTTTTAGCGCAAAAAAATTAATAAATACCGCATACGGTCAAAAACTGCAATGTAATTAATAAAAACAAGAAGCGCGCGGGGCCTCCACCCCGGTCGCCAACTTGTGTTAGTGTGCGTAGACTGTTTGCACGGAATACACATGTACTACTACTTATGTAGAGTTAATCGATGTATGTTCTTGTACTAACCTAAAGTAGTAGTAGTGATCAGAATAGGCAAGTCCCTGTTCCTGAAAGCACGTTCTATCACATGCCTCTCTTCGTACAGTAGCCCTGCGTGGTGACAACCTACTCCACTCATCACCAATGTCTATAAACACAGGTAACCAAAACGAGTTCATAAAAGTTGAAGAATTCGTTGTGATGTTACTGTCACTATTATTTGTTACAATATATAAATTTAGAAACGAATTTCCCAACAGGGGCCTAGTTGAGTGCCAATAGTACAAATAAAAACTTTGTTTATCTTACTCTTGAAATGCTCTTGGTTCAATTTTAGTTAGAGCTTCAGATCGGGACACTTCGTAGTCTGCTCTCAAAGCCCCAAAATAGTGGTGGCTATATACAAGAGAATCCATAAAAAGCAGGGAGTCATATCGTATCGTATTCTATACCATTTTCTTAGAAACAATACAAAGTCAAAAACCCAATAAGAAAAATAATAGGCAATAGATTATAAATATAATAAAATAACTTCTCTAGGCTACAAGAAAAACATATTTTAAAAGTTAAAGGATAAATAATAATCCGTTTAACAATAACATCTTCTATAGCAGTAACTCATCTACAATCTATATCTTTCTTATTTGCGAATATTTGCCAGAGCGTTAACAAAGCCAAGACGACAAGCGTGATTTAATATATAAACAAACAACGCTTGAGACGACGTTACACTTTGACCTGGGCCTTAATTCTGCTATTCTAATATTGTATCAATAGATGTCGATGGAATGTCGTCGGAATAGTTTTGCACTTTTCGTATTCTAGTTACTATGTAAGACCAATGGCCTCCCGATGACTTGTCACTGAACTGCCACCGATACAAATGTCGTCAATGTCGTGTAGGACGCCCACAGGCCAGGTGGAGTGACGATTTGCGCAAGATGGCTGACAGGAGCTGGATGCGAGTAGCCCAAAATCGATCTAAGTGGCGTGCAATGGGAGAGGCCTATGTCCAGCAGTGGACTGCGATAGGCTGATGATGAAACGGTACATTTTAAATTTGTAAGAAAATGATATATTTAATTTTCCAGGTATGACAATGTTATTGATACCACCATTGATGACCTATATTACTATATCGACAGTCTATTGACACTGTGAATTTATGTCAGTAGAATATAGATATTTGGACCGATGTCAATGGCGTCTCAATGGCATCTCAATAGCGTATCAATAGAATGACAGTGGTTTGACGTAAACATAAAGTTGATTGTCATCTACTATATTAATGGTATTTATTTATGTATTTATGTAAGTTTATATGTATTTGAGTATAAGTATGTATTATGTGTATAGGTTCTAGTGTATGTACGCATAATTGATATTATAACTACTATCAAACTTTAACCAAAATGCACCTACTTCCTGTTCTCTCTGCATCACCCAAAGGTTGTAGGTTGTGTTGTGGTTGTGGTTGGTTGACTGGTAGAGAATGCCTTAGGCATTAATTCCGCCAATGCACCAAAAGCGCATGAAGTATAAATAAATAAATAATATAGCAGGGTTGAGGCTCTGCAATGTTTCACCGTGAGGGAGGCATGTTTGGGCACAAACAGGCCCGGAGTGAAGTTGAGAACAGAAGAACCCTATTCCCTCCTATTCCCCTGATTTTGACTAGACGTGACTAGATGGGACAAAATCACAGTGAACTGTGAATAAAGACCCTATTTTGCCTATTTAACAGTAAATCTAGTATTACCCCAACCTACGTTCGCAAAAATCGAATCACAGTTCACTGTGCCTTTGTCCAATGCCCTGCACTTCAAGACTCACAAGTATACTTGTGACTCTTGAAGTGCAGGTGTCCATGAACGGCGGTACTTAGTATCAAGTGACCCGTCTGCTTGTTTTGTTGCTATACCATAAAAAAAGAATATTAAAGGTCGTGGTCACGGCTAACGAATAGCCAAGGCGACATTGATGACGACATTAACACACGCGGAGCACCTATTTTTTTTTTAAAGATAAGTCCCGCATTAGGAATATATCGTGTGTCGCGAGGGACTTTACAAACATACATGAAACGAACACAAAGAACACCCAGACATAGACAAGAATTTGTAGATCACACAAAGTGTCGTCTCATGTGGGGATAGGATCCACAACACTCAGCATAGTAGTAAGCGGCGTGACGACCGCTTAAACCACTACGCCATCCGTGCAGTCCAAGTCCTATGCAGGTGCATTTTGCTGTGTCGGTCAACTTTCAAGAGGAGAGTGCCGCAAGATGCCGTAATAAGAATTTCAGATTGGGGCCGAGTAAATCTAGTCCAGTTCAACCCAAAAAAGACACAGGTCTGTGCGTTCACCGCAAAAAAGATACCATTTGTCGCATCACCTCGGTTTGAGAGCACCTCCCTAACTGCCTCAGCCAGCATCAGAATCCTAAGCTTCGACATATCGAGCTAAGTCCAGTTTCGGGGTCAGTTAGAGGGTAAGGTCAAATTGGCCTCAAAGAAGCTCGGTGCGCTGAACAGATCAAGGCAGTATTCCACTCCGGCCCACCGCCTTCAGCTCTATAAGACGCAAGTCCGGCCGCATATGGAATACTGTTTTCGTCCAGACCGCATCCAACGAAGAGCGACTCGAATCGTCGATAGTCCAAACATCTCCGATCGGCTCGATTACTTGGCGTTACGTAGAGATGTGGCTTCACTCTGCATTCTCTATCGCATATATCATGGAATGTGCTTTGAGAAATTGTTCGGACTTATACCGGCCGCAACTTTCCGCCATCGTTCGACAAGGCAAAAGTTTCATTCTCATCACCTGGATAGTTGGCGCTCCACTACTGTGCGCTTTTCGAGACACTTTTTGCCCCGCACACCCAATCTGAGGAAAGGGTTATCGTCTGCGGTATTTCCTTACCGATACGAACTCCAACCTTATAGAAAAGAGCGTACTCCTTCCTAAAAGGCCGGCAACGCGTTTGTGACTCCTGAGTTGCAGACGCTCATGGGCGGCAATGGTCACTTTCCATCAGGTGACCCTACTGGAAGCCTGCGGCCGCGTCGATCAGCCCTCTCCCCATCCCTTTCAGCAGCATTAGAGCTACACAGAAACAAAACCACTGCGCCCCAGCCCATCCGCCACAATGATTGCTGGCGGGGACAGGTCTCGACCGATTTGGTCGACCAGGACCTCGCATTTAGACGACCACGCGGGGCAGACAAAATTGTGCGGTAGTCTCATACGATCCTAATGGCCGCTACCCGCTGCGCTTGATTGAGCTTAGCTCGATAGCGGGAGGAGTCCGATATGCGCTTGGCCCATATCGGTGCTCCGTAGAAGCCCATGGCCAGAGAGCATCCAGCGTCGAGCGTCCCTGTCGGAAGCCAAATACTTTGTGTCTAGGTTTAATAACATAATAAACGGCATGTTAGTTTTCAAAATTATTGTATCTATTTATATAATCATAATTTAAAAAATCCGCAAAACGTCTCAATTAGCGGAGGCAACTAATTTACCTGTAACTTTTTATTCTTAATTGTCGAAGCTAATGCAGTTAATTTGGCTTTTTGTTCCGCATTAAAGTTGATTGTGAGCTCTCGCGTCAAAGTTTCCGCTGTTAAAGTTACACTTTTACGAGTGTTGCAGAAAATCTGTAGTGAAAATAAAATCAGTAAAAGTTGTAGTATGGCTGTACTACTTACTTAGAGAAGTAAACAAAAAATATATTAACTTTAAAATAAAATTATTAATAATATATTTTAATTCTAAAGGTTTAGAATTGTCACACTATATAAAATAGTTTATTACCAGTGTTGGTTTTCCACGATGATACTTCTGTATAATTGGCCACAGCTTATAATTAAGAATTATATCAAACTTAAAAATGCTTGTTCCCGCTGGACATGGGTAACCTTCTACTATTCGATTTAGCTTTACTGGACGACATTCGTCACCAAACCTACAAGATCGGGACGTAATTCGCATTAAACTAGCAACCAGCCAGAAGTTAGCATGATGAAAAAAGAAAATGAAAATCAGCGCAACCATTCCAGATATATAATATGTACACAAATTCATAAAGTTCTTTTACCTTATTGAACATACATGTAGATGTATGTTCCATAAGGCATTAAGGGCAACAAAGAATTTTCTTTAGGTATTAGTACATAAGTAATAAGGCAAATTCTAAGCTCCTTCTGCTTAAATACGCAGTAAAGCATATAACATTTGGAACCATAGACAGAATATATAGAAAGATAGAAAGAAACAGAAGATAGAAGAATCATAGATAGAAGAAGAGCAGAAAGATACAATTTCTAGAAAACATGTTAACGGGTACATGAAACTATAGGTGTCCAGTATATATTTTTACCTATAATGGTAAAAAAGTTTATATAATAACAGTTCAAGTTATACTTCAAGTCATACAAGGTATACTGGTTTATTAAAACAAAAACGAAACATAATATTTATAAATAAACACCGAGTCTGACACTGGGTGTTGACATATGACGGGTACTTACCTATGGAAAACAGCTGATTTATTTGAGGTTCCCAACCAGTTGGCTACGTCTTCCGGATTACTGACTGTTGCTGATACAGCTACGAAACGAATGCTAGGGGCTGCTTTATGAGTCACAGCGCTTCCTTGAAGTTGGTTCTGCAGTTTTTCTATACGATGTACTGACTGAGCTGAACTCTGAGTGGTTTCCAAAGACAACAAATTATTGCATATTGGCACAAAGGCATTACTGGCAAAAACTTTACAAAAGAAACAATCTTACGGAGGCAGAAACTGGTCCCGCCTCACTAGTCTTGTACCTATGATAAGCATATCTAAGACGAAACTAGAGAAAAAAACTTTTACAGTCATAATTTTTTCCACTAATGTGTAATTTGTGCATACATAATCAGAACTACATAATATGTACTAACTTCCGATACATAAATAAAACCCAATGTATGTTTATTCGTATTTTATGCGCTGCCGAAGCTTTCATCCGGATACAGTAAAAACATACGGTATCTTGCATCCAACGTAACAAATACCCAGAGGATGCAAAAAAAATACTTTTACGCAAGCAAAGTCGCAGACAAAACCTACTATCATAAAAAAATAATGGCATAAATACTTCAATAGCCTTCATTCTGCTGACTACAGCTTCAAGTACGGGCCCACGCGTTTCATCGTTTAATATGTGAACTTCATCGATTAGGAACAGCTTAATGACTTCCACCATGCTCCTGTGGTCGCGCCATCGTCGCGTCAACATATCCCATTTCTCAGGTGTTGTTATTATAATCCTTTGGATTATTTTTCAAACAAAGTTAATACTGCATTCAAATTGGACCTTATACATTAGAAAGATTAACGCAAAAGGTATCTTACTTGTAGGGTTGCAATTGGGAGAAATCTACATCTGTGTCTCCCGTAGCTTCGATGCACAAGAGTCCAAGTTTTGTGAACTTAGGGTACCATTCCGTTAACCTCTCCGTACATAAAGCTTTTACGGGAGCCACTGAATACGACAAGTATATTTAGTTTATTATAAGAATGAATATAAATCCTTGATTGTTGTAATGTATGGTTGTAGAGTATATATTGACGATGTCGAAATTATTTATAAAATCCTGTTTACACAAAACCTATAGCAAATACTCAGAATACGACAGTACAGACAACACAATCTATTCAGTAATAATTACACTGACTTATTGTGAGAACAGATTTTACAACATTCATTTCTCATCGTGCCCCTTAATTGCTCTGGCCAATTAAATAGTGCATGGATAATTTTATTCATGCTAATTTCTCAGGTCCATGGTATTTTTTTTTATTATTATATAAATAGACAGTGAAGTAATATCATACATATATGCTGTAGGTAGAATATAATTTATGTGGACAAAATTTTTACGCTAGTTTTACATAGAGTTAATTTACGAGTATCTGCATTACATATTTAATAGAAAATGATGAGTTGGATACATTTTTATTGATTTAGCACAGCACAAGCGGCGTTTGAATCAAAGTAAATCACGAGTCGTCAGTCAAATTAATCTGTACTTGCTAATATGATTTAATACCAAGTGCATTGGTATATTGCTTACTTTACTTTGCTGCAAAATTATTATTGGGTACCTAATTTCTAACACTTCAAGGCTCGTTGTTACATTAAGATTTTGAAAATAATCTGCCTGTCCAAAGTTATAAATATAAAAGGTATATTTACTGTAAATGATTTTAAAATCTTCTGTGTAATTTTTGTTTTCTAGTTCCATCAGTAGTTGAACTATAGCCATTTCAAAAATTACAGTTTTTCCTGAACCCGTCGGTGCACAGACCACTATCGATTTATCTGAAATATGATATTGACAACTAAATTCCTACTTTGGTCAGAATTTCGTTGAATTCGATGAGTTGTTCAATATTATGTAACTTATTTTTCTTTCAAATCAAGAATACTTGTAATACTTGATTTCTTTAAATTAATATAAGCAATTCTTGGGAATTGAGCAATAACAACATAACAGCATTTACTAGTCCACTGGTGGTCATAGCCCCCGCGCTGGCCAGACGGGTTGGTCTATACCAACCCGTCTGTCCAGCTGGATATGGAAGGAGCACTAACGAGCGGTAAACACCATTCATATCGCATTCATAATTTCTAATGGAACAGTGAAAACAACGAATGAATTGGGAATCCCTTACACACCTACTGATAAAAGTGATAATCATGATAATTGCTGCAAATAGTAGGAAAACTTGAACTACCTACTATTATATCAACAAAAAAAAAGGTAAGGAGGCTCCTAATCCTCTTCATCCTAGGAGAGGGCTTATAATCAAGACGGGAAAACTTCACAGTATAGAATATTAACAAAGTAAAGACAATAAACGATATTGGTTGAATAGATTTTTGTGAGAATTGACATGGTTGATGCTAGCAAATATCATTATCCACCAGAGAGAGCCAAGCTTCGGCACCAGTACCACGGCCTCACAGAAAACCAGTGTCAAACATTTATTTCGTTGCTTTGATTGGCCTGTTGCATGCCATGCCATGGGTGGAGGTAGTCACTTGCCATCAGGTGACCCGACTTCTCGTTTGCCCCCCTACATCATAAAAAAATATCCTGCCCTTTTTCAATTTCATTTAGGGCATTGCAATGTGTAACGTTTGCAAAAAGGTTTGGCTGGTTTTGTTTTATGGTCTGCCACTTGTCTGCCGTCTACTGTCCTTGAGAATCTTTACGTCAGGAAAAAACTCTCCTATACCTACCCGTTTTGTGCTTGGAGACATCACTGGGATATTGATACTTAATCTGTGAGTTCTGATACCCTATTAAAAATCTTCTTCAGACTTTTTGGAATTATAAACGACAGTGCTAAGTTACGTTTTAGAAAACTAAAATGAATTTACAAACTAACCTGAATAAAGAGCATCATCGATGACCTTTGATTGTACAAGATTAAAGTATTTATACGTAAACACGTTTCGGTATTTCAGATCTGCAATATATAAACGGAGTTCAACATCCTTGCACCTATGTTGGCTATGTTGGGTAATAATATTACAATATAAAAGGTATTACGAAACTTATATAGAAATGTCATTTCATTTATTACCTTTTCAATGAAATTTTCATACATATGTCATTAATAAATAAAGCATTTGTTTTGTATATTAAATACTTAATTAACTATGCTACTTAAATATACCTAAACACCTTAAAGTAAGTACATTATTTTTTAATAGGGTTTACAATTATTTTAGTACAGTGTTGTTATAGAGGTTGAACAAAGTACCAATCTCTTAGGGTTTCTGGTGTTTTTTTTTTCAAACAATCCTTAATTTTTTTTGACAAATATACCTATCTCTTAAATTTAAGCTACAACTTACTGGACTTGTGAGGTAGAAGTCCCCCTATGGCTCTAATGCAGCACTTTTGTGATATGAAAAATGTTTTGTTTAGTACAATTTTCCCAAAATCTCAAAACAGAGAGAAAAATATGATAAAATACTTTTATGGTTTTATCACTACTTTTGTTGCAACCTTGCCAACAAAATCTAACTTTTAAGTCTCGTAATTATTATCTTTTGGCTTAAAATTAATACATAAACAGTGTAATAACTATACGTATGGTTTAACTTTAGAAGAAAATAATCAAAAAATGATAGTCTGGTCCAAGGCCCATGGCAGTTTACATATGGGACTAATCTTACCTATTTCCTCAGTGCTACGGAATTCCCCACGTTGTCCGCACCCTTTGAAAGGACGAGGTGGGTCTTGTATATCTCGTGCGGTGTTAGTATCTGTTGCTGACCATTTATCGTTACTATCAATAGACGGTGACAAAGATATCGGTTGTGAATCGCATATTTCAGCGTCCAATACGTCCGTAAAGCTTGCCCTGCAATACAGTATATCTGTATAGAAATAGGTCGCAATAATTTAATGAGCGATGATTTATTATTAAAGAATAAGAATAAATTAACAGACTAACAGTGTGCTATCCATCACTCTTCTCATTCAACGTGCACATCTAATTTACAAATTACAATACTAACTGCTTTGTTTTAACGCTCCCGCCATTCCTGCAATTTTTTTTTAATTTCTTCGCAAACAGGTCAAAGTCAAGATGTATATACCTTACAATGTTACTTACATAGACACGTACTATTATTTTATAACTAACAATAAACAATTGGCTCTGCTTAGTTTGAAATTAGATAGCGTTGTGTGTCAGATGTTCGAAAAATATTATTATTATTATTAATTGAGCGTCGAAACATGAATCCAACAATAACATGTTTTTAAATACTAGAGGATCGCCCATTACTTTAAATGTGAGCTTAAACTTAACTCTTGGGAGCCTTTAGAGCCTTATAGTCAAGTCTAGTAAAATTTTGTCATAATCGGTTAAGCCGTTTAGAAGATTACCCGGAACAAACAGACAGATAGACAAAAAATATTTAAACCGGGTTTTAGACATACGTATCGTGCAAATAACCGTGTGAGCATTTTTATTTTTATTTTGACATTACAAACAGCCACTTAAATTTTATTTCAGAAATAGGTAGGTACCTAACGCTTATTTCATTTATTTTTGTCATGGCTGTTATTGTGGTAGTTTTCTAGAGAATATCATTGTATTAGTGTGTCACTCTCTATAGTTCAAAAATTAAGTTCGATAGTTACTCATGGTAAAATTATAAAAAGGAAATCTAAGCTTATGAAAGGTCATATACCTTTCATAAGCTTAAGATTTCGAGAGAGATTAAACTACTATAGATATTAATTGTAGATAACCTAAAAGAACTAAACAAACCGAATTCAGAATCCTAAAAAATATTTTGAGTTACGTTTTCAATGCTACAACGTGGTTATGTTTTATTTCATCATTGGTTGGTAGCATTATTTTGTTCTAACTTGACTTTTCGAAACTGACGTGACTGACGTTCACTGTCAACTCAAGATACTATGCATTCTATGCAAGATCGTCTGTTGTCTTGTCATAAAGCAAAGATTAAGGAAATGTATTCGTGACCATTTTCCTTATTTGAATTCGTCAATTACTGAGTGATGTTTAGACAGACAGTGTAAATTTCTAAAAGAGATTCATTTGATTTTGTGTAACAAATTCACAATGTAGGTTTGACTAACTTTTTTAGTTAAATTAAGACTGCATTTACATAAATATCATCTTTGGGAATCCCAAGTAATATGATGCATATGACAATTTACAGGGAAGTTATGAAGGATTACGAGAATGCAGATACTATCAGTGTTGACACCCTAGCTTTAGAACAAATGGTGATACAAGAGAGGTCTACAGAAATAACACAGCTGCAGGCTTTAAGTAAAAAAGCAAGGTTTCTTCACTCAGATCTACTATACTATCGAAATGCTAAAACTGCGACTGGCAAAGCTTGCTATAACGTATGGAAAGTTTTGATTAAAAGAGTTGGCGGCACTCCAAATGGTTGGCTGGATCTTGGTTACACCTTGGGTATTTCACAAGACGACTTAAATGTAAGTTTTTAATTCGATTTCATTGTTACTTGAATTTTTTATTTTCTCTAATTCACCTTAGTTTTGAATCAAATCATCATCATCACCATCATTTTCTTGCCCTACTCCAGTGCAATCTGTTATGTTGCAAAAGGTTTTAGCAGATTTATTTTTCTAAGCCTCCTTGTTCCCACACAAGAGTGGGTCATCTACAAGCCATAGATAGCTGGGAGTCCATCAGGGTACCAAGGATTAAATTCCTAGGGTACACCTGGTTCCCCGGATAGTGGTACCCGAAACAGGTTTGAGTCTGACAGAACCACTCCACCAGTAGGTCGTATCCGAGGGGATTTCCAGACAGATTTTTTATTTATTTATTTATTTATTTATTGGTTTACCAGTAATTATTACACAAAAACATTCGTAAAAAATAGAACATAGTATTGACCTTAATCTAACTTATGTAGGTAAACACCGCATGCATATAATCTAATATGGCTTTAAAAAAACAGAAAAAAAATACTACCTATTAACAAGGGTTGTGAAAAAAGTTGAAAAATAAAAGGTTGTAGAACCTATAACCTAATATTACAGATAGGCACTATCTCCAAATAGAGCAACAATTAGTACATAGCTAATCGACAGTAAGGTTGTGGACTCGGTTCTTAAATCGTTGAAATTTTGTGTCGAAAATATCTATCTGCTTACTGATTTGATTGTATTTCTTGCTTAGCCGTGAAACAGGCGAGTTGGAACCTAAAACCGACTTTCGCAAAGGAGGATGTAGGAGCATCATTGGTTTTCGGGGATATTTGTGAGGTATATTGAATTTAAATTTTGAAAGTAAATCTGGGCAATCAATATTGTTGTGTAGTAATTTAAATAAAAATAATAAATCAGATGAGTTCCTGCGTTTTTCTAGTGAGGCAATTTTGAAATATTTAAGTTGTTTCAAGTAGCTTGGTTGTTTCTTTGCAAGACCCGTAGAGTAGGCAAGATGGTTCAAGAAACGCTTTTGGATTCGTTCAATTCTAAGGCTATGTGCAGCATAGTGAGGACGCCAAGCTACGACACAATACTCAAGTATGCTTCTTACAAGGCTACAATACAGTACAATTTTAGTTTGAGGAGAGCTGAATGGTTTGCTATTTCTAATAAGAAAACCCAGAATTTTTGACGCTTTCTTTACAACATTATCCATGTGGGGAACAAAAGTTAGTTTGGAGTCAAGTATCAAACCTAAATCTTTGATGGTGTCTACGTGGCCAAGTGGTATGCCGTTTATATTATAACTATATTGTAATTTATTCCACTTACGGGTAAAAGTTATTTGGAAACATTTTTTTACGTTTAGTTGCATATTGTTATCATTACACCATTCCAAAAGTCTATCAATATCACTCTGAAGCAGCAATGCATCTTTGTTTGATTCTATTATACGAGCTATTTTTAAGTCATCCGCGAACAAGTACGGAGTAGAATAGAGGAAACAATTCGGGAGGTCATTAATAAAAATATTGAATAGTATAGGTCCCAAATGCGATCCCTGTGGGACGCCTGAGGTAATTTTGAATATATTAGACTTGTAACCATCAGCTACAACGAAGAAAGTTCGATTTACTAGGTATGAGTCAAGCCAATGAAGCAATGATCCAGCAAAACCATATGACAACAACTTTTGAATAAGGATATGACGAGACACCTTATCAAAGGCTTTGCTGAAATCAGTGTACACCGCATCCACTTGTTTATTAGCATCCACTGACTCTATAGTATTCTCAACAAAACTAACCAGATTACTGCATGTCGATCTAGCGATAGTAAATCCGTGTTGTTGGCTTGACAAATACTTTCTAAAATAATTTTGAATAAAGGGACATATCAATGCTTCAAAGGTTTTCGCTAACGTTGGAAGAATCGATATTGGTCTATAACTGCTAACCATACCAGATCCAACATCAGGTTTAAGAATAGGAACGACTTTCGCAAGTTTCCATTGTTCAGGAAAGATGCCAGATCTTAGTGACCGATTAAAAATTAAGCCCATAGGGATGGCTAACTCATCAGCACACTCCCTTATAAAGCTTGGCGGAATATTATCAGATCCTGGCCCCTTTGATGCATCAAGATTCTTAAGAAACTTGACTATTGCTTCTCTGTCAATACTTAAATTGGTAAACGAGTCAGAGTGATTTGATGCTTTATGCAAGCAAGGGGACAGTGAAGATAAGCCATGAGATTGATGTATTGGGTTATAAACAGAAGAAAAGTAGCCACCAAACATGTTACATATATCATGGCCATTACTAGCCACATTATCACCATTTGATAAGGATGCAGGATAATTACTCTTACCATTTCGCTTTGATTTAATGAATGACCAAAAAAATTTAGGGTTCGTTTTAATTTTGCGTTCGATGTTGTTAATATAACATTTGTAGCACTTCTTTACCAGGATTTCACAGCGCCTGCCACATAGCTGCATATAAATCTTATCTAATGGATTTTTATAGATTTTATACCTTTTTCTATATTTATCTCTTTCCCGCTGTAATCTTAGTAGCTTGTGATTAAACCAAGACGGTCCAGAGTTATTTTTTATAACAATTGATGGTACGTACTGTTTTATTAACTGGTTAAGATTGTTGTAAAATATGTTTAACATGATGTTAGGATCAATGATTCCCTGGAAAAGGGCACACCAATCAGTATTATTGAGACAGTATTTGATAGTAGGATAGTTCGCCTTTTTAAAGTTTAGTCTTGTAGAGTTATTCGGCTTTAAGTTACTTTCTTGTGCATACTCAAGGATCATTTCAAGAGGAGGGTGATAGGGATCTATTTTGCAAAGACCAGCAAGTGCTTCAGTTATTTCACAACCTGGTAAATCAGTAAGAACCAAGTCCAAGATCTTACCTTTGTTATTAAAAATATTATTACACTGACTTAAGTTGTTTATATGCGTAAAATCGATGAGTTTCTGACAGATCTTAGAATGAGAGAACGGATACGAATCTGCTAGGCCATTCACAGCATTCCAATTAATTTGGCTTAAATTAAAATCGCCGAAGAGAATGGTATGACACTTGTTGATTCTATCTACTAGTGAATTATAATTGTCCATGAAGTGGTCAATAGTCGAATTCTGAACCGGTGGTGGAAAATACACTGCACCTAAAGCTAATTTAAAGTTGTGTTTGACTTGGACTGTCACCCATAAGTCCTCGCAACTACTCTCCCAGTCTGATATCCTATTAGCAACAAACTTCTTAGCAATCGCAATCAAAACACCTCCGCCATCTTTGCGATTGTGGAATCCTGTAGTTTCTCGGTCTCTCCGGAAAACATTGTATCTATTATCAAAGAGTTCTGTGCTAAAGACGCAACTATTCAGCCATGTTTCTGTTAACACTATTGCATCGTAGTTTGTACAGGCCAAATTACAAAAGAATTCCTGAGTTTTAGATCGCAAACCACGGATATTTTGGTAAAAAATATTAAAAGTAGCGAATTTTAAAACATAACTTATAAACTTGCAAAAAAAAAAATACATCATAATGATAAACGAACTTAATTATTTTAGTTAATTTTGCTAAGTGAGTCCATGTCTCTAATAATACGATATGCTGAATCATCTGTTTTTCTTATAAAAATGCGGCCTCCTCTGACCCAAACGTGCTTATAGCCCTTCTCTTTTGCTTTAAGACGCGTGGCTGCATGTAAAGCTTTGTTGGTAGGACTCAGGTGTTCGCTGACGAAAATAGGTGATTTCTCGCCCCCAAGACTGAGGTGGTTGGTGTTTAATTTGTCGTTGAAGTTTTTCTTTTTATTGAAGTTAATACAAGCAGCCAAAAAAGTGTCTCGCAGTCTTTGTGTGTTGAACTGGACTACAATAGATTTAGGACGATTACTGTCGCCATTAAACTTCATCACACGCGTGCAATTCAATACATTCTCTTCCTTAATTTCACAATCTATGACCTTACCAAGTTGTTTAACTATTTTCATTAAATTCTCATCCTTTTTCTGAGGGACACATTGTAATTCAATATTACTAGCGCGGGCATTCTGTTCCAAAGTATTAATGCGCACTGACATATCTTTAATTATGGAAGTCATTTTGCTATTGTCCTCCGTCAACTCCTTTATCCTTAGTTTCGCCTCTGAATGTTCACGTAGAATATCATCATATTGTTCACTCATATGAACAACGGAGTCTTTTAGCTGTTCAATTTCATTTCGTACCGACTTAATTTCCATGTTTAATAAGCTGCGCATTGTCGAAGTAATTTTCTCCAACAAGTTATTAGACTGAGACTCAATGGCTTCTTGAATTATAGCGCGTACACCATGCTCAGTTAATACAGGCGATTCCGAATCAGGTGGGGACTGAAGGGCCTGCCTTTTGTTGGAGCGTACAGTAATATTTGGATTAAAGCGGACGGGTGTATTATCGTTATTCTGTCCTTTGGAAGTTGTTGAGGTGCAGAGGGGGCAAATCCAAGACGACTGTACCAATGATGATTCTAAAGATAGGCAGTCATAATGAAAAGCTTTCATGCATACTCCACATTGAAGATATTTTTCACTTTTATCACCGGTTGTACAACATCCCCAGACAAAACTCGACTGCGCCATTACTATAAGTATAATATTATAATTCGAAAAAGTCGCACACTACACAACTCAATACAGATTCTAAGTAATATAGGGGCACAGCAATAAATGCCCACGACGCCGTTCTGCGGATTGATTGCACGGCCGAAAGGTCGCAAGCGCCGTGCAGGACGCGTCGCTTACACGTTCGATTCAAATGTGTGGATGATACGATTCGCAAGTAGAATGTTGGTATATCGAAAACAAAATCCTCAGTCTGAATTATTACAATAATGAAAAATAGGTCTCGTAGACCTAAGGTGGCTTTTTAAACTCACGGATAGAATCTGCGATACACTATACTTGCTGCTTAATCACTGCACTACTACTGCACTTTAGACACCTTTTATCAATTTAAATAGCTGGAGCTAATGAACAATGACTTGTCACTTGTCACTTCATTTTTGAATCAGATAGAAAAGGGTAACCCTCCGTGCGAATGTACTTGTTTTCTGACTAGAAGGAGAACAAGGTAAATTGTGATAAGGTAAATAGATACATTGAGGAATACTGCAAGTCTTAGATAGGGCAATGAGCTGCAAGAGACTAGTGTTTCTTATCCATTAATCCATTCTTGGAAATGACTCTAAGACAGATACATCAACTGGTTGACTCATTGAAGCTATGAAATTATACTTATTTATGATTGTACCTTTGATGCCTAAATTATTATTCTTTGAATAAAATATACAATGCTATGTTAGCAAGTACACTAGTCTTCTAAAATTGATTTTATTTCCATTTCAGTATATCAAGCATTCAGTACGAGAAGATCCTGTTGACATGGTGTTGAGAGTGTTTAGACAGGATGAAAGTGCAACAATAGACAAGATACTAGATGCTTTTGTTACTCTCAAACGCTATGACATTCTTAAAGCCATTGAAGAACCACTATGTGAGATAACGCAATTCTTCAACAAGGATGACAGTGGTTACCATAGCAATGGAGAAAGCGCTGGACAGAGAGAAATTATTTGCCCAAAGAATGTTCCTAATCACTTACCACCAGCTTTAAATAAAAAAATTGTCATTAAAGATCAAAAAGATCCTAAAAAACCTAAACAACCATTACTGAGACCACCTGTTACCCCAAAAGAGGTTGTAGTTAATGAAAGTCCAATACTATTTTTAACTTATACATATGATGGATTACCAACAGCAATAAATATACAAGAATATGTTGAAAATTGGACAGATATACCTAATGTTAGGGTCATTACTTTGAATAGTAGAAAAGATGATTTGTACCAGAATCCTGAAAAATTTATTAGAGAATATTTTGAGAAAGTAAGTAATTAGCAGGCAATTAAAGCATACCTATTAACATAACAAATTCACAAGTATAAGACAAATTATGTCCAAAATGCTCATAGATATAGCCATGCCTATAGATGCAAGTGTGTACAAGGTATTCTTGATGTAATTTGAATTATGTACATTATAGGCATAGATATTTTTTTTAAAGATAATTATTTTAACCAACTATAATGCACCTGAATTAATTGTATTAAGCTGAGTTTTAAGCTTTTAACTTTATCAACCATACCAGGTGGAATGTATTCTCAGTATCTGTATGAAATCTGTGGAATTGGAAACCTCTTTTTTTGTGAAGTCAGTTAAAAAATGATGAATGATTTAAATTGGTTTGTTTTAAGTAAGTGTAATATTGTCCTGTACATGTATAATATTATAACATTGTGATATCTTTTGTTTCAGGCTAACCTCATAATACCCATCATTACAACTGGGTATTTAGATGAAATCAAATCACATGATCCTATTGCATCAAATACTACAGACAACTTAGATCACAAATATGTCAACTTTATTTATAATCTAATAGTAAACAATTATATTTATGCTACAGGCTGCTTAAATAAAAAAGTAAGGAGTGTCATGCCTCAGAATGCCAGTTTAGATTTATTCAATCGGCTAAGCATGTATCCAGATTTGATGCCTTGGACATATGAAATGAATTTTGATGAACAATTCCAAGTATTCTTAAAAATGGATAATTCATCTTGATTATATTTTTAACCTATAAGTAGTCAATTTATACAAAACTGCCTATTATAGTAAATATTTTTAATTAACAGTTACTGTACCTGATAATACTTGATATCAGAGGCGGATTTACATATTTGCTACAATTCAATAAATTCAATACCTTCTTTTTTCGTATGTACGTACTTTTTACGTACGTCTCTCCCCCCCCCCCCCCCGCACTGGGAAGGTCCAGTCTGTTTTTCTGAATGGTTGGGGGTGAAACACACAACGACGACGAACGACTGTTAGAACATGGATGATGTTGCACTCGTCACGGAGGTAGCGGCGGCTATGGATCCGTTCCAAGAACACCGCACCTGGACCAAAAGGGATACCTGCTCGAGTGATGCCCCTAGCCCTCGACCACATGTCAGACCTACTTAAGAAGGTCTTCAACGCTAGCTTGGCGTGCGGACGCTTCCCTGAGTGGTGGAACTGCGGGTAGATGGTCCTAACAAAGCTGAGACAGCCTGCCAATCCGGTCGCGGTCTACAGGCTAATTGTGTTGCTGGACGAGGACGAGGCAAATAAATTGTTTGAGTGGGTTCTCTGCGAGGTTTCGGTCAAGACTTTCGACGATTAGTGCTGTGTTACACCTCAGAGTCGTGATCGATGAGGCGGTGAACTCCCCACGCGGACAACTATTACTCCAGATTACAGTGCTAGAGGGTTATAATTGGAAATATCGCAAAAGTCAGATGTTAGAGCAATTTGTTTGAAGATTATCCCATTTTTAGGTTCCAATGTTCGGGTCTTAGTTAAAAAAAAAATGTTTACCGCAAGTAAATTTAAAACAACTCATACTTAATTAAACATCTTTTGATGGAAAATATAAATGCATAAGTTATTTAATACCTACCGAATTATATTATGTACTAATGTATTTTATATACCCAGTATTCCCTTGAGAAAAATGGGATGGAACCAATCAGAAAATGTGTCGTAATCGTAACGTGTCGTGTCTTTAGTTGGAACGAAAAGAGAAATGATGATTTGGTGTAGATAATTCATTTGAATTTGTGACAAACTATTCAAGTTCTGTCTCCATTATGTTTTTCCGAGGACCTAGTATGAGTTTATTAATATTATTTAACGGGAATTAACGCGATCTCTTAGTTAGGGTATTACATACCTCTGGTTTGCCTGACGTTTCGACCAGGTTGCACCGGCCGTGGTCACAGGCTGACTGGCTCGTCGGCGCACGCCCTCCGTCGTCGAATCCGTGAAGTAGAAGGCTCTTCATCTACCCGCACATTTTCGATATTGTTTTTGTGTCGCCATGTACCGTCACATACCACACTAACAGTGTCCCTATTCTGTAAGCAAACCGATGAGTCCCTATTCTGGTGTTTAACCGATTGCGCAGAAAAGCGAGGTGGTATGTTTTTTAACACTGGATTCCACGCTGTAGATAATTTAAAACCATCTTCCCGATTGAAAGTTTTATGCTTTTTAATCTCAATCGCTTCACGTACAACTCTTGAGTAAAAGTGACGTTCGGTGGAGAGGACTTGCGTGCGGTGAAATTCAATCCAGTGGTTGATGCCTGCATCGAGTGCATGTTCTGCAATCGCTGATTTGCTCGTCTTACAGAATAGGGACACTGTTAGTGTGGTATGTGACGGTACATGGCGACACAAAAATTATATCGAAAATGTGCGGGTAGATGAAGAGCCTTCTACTTCACGGATTCGAGGGCGTGCGCCGATGAGCCAGTCAGCCTGTGACCACGGCCGGTGCAACCTGGTCGAAACGTCAGGCAAACCAGAGGTATGTAATACCCTAAATAAGAGATCGCGTTAATTCCCGTTAAATAATATTAATTATCATGGAACGCGAAAGTTTAAAAGTTAGTATAGTATGAGTTTATTTCACATTGACTCTATCGTGACGGTGACCGCGTTCGGCGTTGCGTTTGCCATGCACTGAAATCTTCACCATGAGGAAGTTGTCAGAAATGTTAAACTTTATACTTACAAGAAATTATCATCCATACTTATGTTATAATTTTGTAAAGTGAGTTTGTATGTTACGCTTTCCCGCCTAATCAATAAAACGAATTTAAAAATTTGTTCACCAATGGAAAGCTACATTATCAGTGATAACGACAGAGTACATTATATTTTGTACTAGCCTAGCAAAGGCTAGTACAAAATATAATGTACTGTGTGGAATAATGACGTTACACGCAGGTACTATGACGTATACGCAAATATGGACACATAAAAATAATGATGAGTTTTAGTGCCCTATTTTATATTTAAATTAAAAATATACTTAAATTTGATGTAAGTGTAAATAGTTCAATTAAATATTACTATAGAGTTTGAACACGTGAAGAGTCACAACACATAGATCCTCAGTAAAAAAAATCATACCTTCTGGATTTTATACTCGTATATTAGTTACGGCATATTCTATATATTTATAGGAAGATTATATTACACGCATGCACAATATATTTGTTCCGTAACACTATATGTAGGTACATCTATTAATGCATTTTATAACACAATATACACCTACCTGTGGTATAATATTTCTTTTTCTTTATTTACCTTTTTGTCGTAATTTGTGCACTTTCGGAATACACAGGAAGGCATTAGTACTTGCGCTCGCTCGCAGTTGTCCTAATTAGGGCCAATTCACAGCACACGTTTTGTGCGTTGGTGGCGTATCTACTTGTTTTTATAAAATACTATTGTTATACGGTGTCTTATTAATTTACCAATTATAAAACATTCACTCGGTCAGGAAAATAGACACACAGTAGGTACCTATACAACAAGCTGAGGCAAATAGCCCAATACAATGTGAACTTTACTTTTCAATCCACTAGAATTAACCAGACCGCCAACATATGGAGATAATTTACTTTTGAATTTATAATAATAATGAATTAAAACCGTATGTTTAAAAGTGCTAGCTTTCTCTATTCCCTGAACACAAACTTTTTTCTATAGAAGAATACTTTATAGAATAACTTACATATTCTTAAATATAAAACTCTTGCTCTTGTCTTGCTAAAACTCGGGCATGATGGACCGATTTGGCTGACATACTTATGGACGACCAGGAAAAGTTTCAAAGGTGTGAACAATTAAAAAAATAGAACGACTAAGGGTGCAAAACAACGCAGAACACCAGCACTGCAAAAAGAAGGAAAACTTGACACAAACCCTATACCAACCCGTCTGGCCAGCGTGGTATAGTAGGCCACAACCTCCTTTCTAAGGAGAGGCCTATGTCCAGCAGTGGGCTATTAAAGATGATGATGATGACTTCGTACAAGCTTGGTAACTCTTTGGTGTGTGTTGAGTTCCAAAGGTATTCGGGACCCTGTACAACGTTGACAGGTCTGCAGATGTTGCTAGCCCGAGCCACGACCTCAATGTTAATGACTTTCCAGCGTTCTTAAGTGGTTCTAGTTTATATCGTATACCAGAAACGGCCGCGAAAAAGTTGCGACGTGATGTTAAGTAGTTGTCGTAAATCTAAGCTTTTTTTACGTTACTTATTGGCTGTTGGTCTACCTTGTCAATGCCTTTTACAAAGTCTATTACCTATTAATAAATTTATAACTATATTAAATACTACTGGTGTTAAGCAGCAACCCTACTCTGTATTCGAGGGGTTTTGTATGTCCCTCTTTTGCTGTGATTACAAATTTTAATTTACTATAGTATGATGCAATTATTTTACAAACTACTGGAGGAAAGTTATACAATTTCAAAACAAATAACATAAGCTTGTGTTGTGCTCACCGACTCACCGTTTAACAAATCTCTGTATGTATTATACAGTGAGCAACTATTATTCTTAAACTGAAATATCCGTGATACTTTTTCTTCTTAGTTCATTTTCTATGCTACCATCACCAAACAACACTCCACACTTTGGGATAAACAAGAAAAAAATTGTATTGCAAAACAACTTTTTATACCAAAAAACTTAGTAAATTAAATTTGTAATACATGACATCAGTTTATAAGTGCATAAAAAATAAAGAAAAGAAAAATAATTATGTATTAATTAGATTAAATAATTAAATAATAAGGACAACTTGTTTTTTTCGAAAAATATTTTTTGGTACTTAAATGAATATAGAAGCTTTATTCTTATGTAACATTCTTTGATAAGTTAGGAATACTATTATTAGCAGTGTTAATGAATTACATCTTCAAAAGTAAATAATTCAAAAAAAATTAAGTCTTCATTCTTATTCTAAGGCAGAGATACTCTTAGAATCTTTGTACTAGTCGAGTTATTCTAGGCAGTCTTGTTTTCTTCAAAGTCTTCAGCTGTCTCATCAGCAGTGCTGACGTCATTCACATCAATACCAGTGTCATCTTTGCTTGTATTTGCAAGTTCTTCCTGCAATAGTCAATGTGTTTTAGATGTTATTACAGTAGTTACTATAAATATGGGGTTAGAGCTACCTCAACCAAATGGTTGAAGTAGCTCTAGAATAGAATAGATTATACTATCTAAGAAAAACTAGACAATAATAATAAATAGGTGTCCCTTTTATTTAGCCCTAAGAGCATGATGAGCAAAGCGATCTCCACTCTGCTGCCGAATATGTAAGATCAGTGCTGGTAACTAGTTATGTATTTTATGGTTTTGTAATTTAATCTTTTTTGTCCTAATACTCTTTGAATGATACAAAAAACATAAAGTCAATAACCTACCTTAATAACTTCAACAAAACTGTTAGCTTCATCCAGCATCTGTTTGAACATAGCATTTTCTTCTTTGAGGTCTTCAATAATTTTACGGAGCTTTTCATTCTCATCTAATGCCTCTTGAAGAGCAACTCTGAAAAAATATGTACATATAAGGCCTAGAGTTAACTTTTAAAAGTTTTAAATGAAACAAATATAGACCTAGTGACCCTGACTGCTAAGCTAAGAACAGTGGGTTCGATTCCCACCCACAGCAAATAATTGTGGGATAAGAATGATCATTTCTTTTGTCTGGGTGTAATTTATCTATAATATGTGCTTATTAAAACTATTTAAGGTATGTTTATCAGCAGTAAAATTACCCTTATTAAGGCTCTGCCTAGTTTGGGATCAGTCACCGTGTGAAACTGAATAGTATTCTAAAATAATGAAATGTTTCAAAGCACAGATACCAACTAATTTTTAAACAACTGCATAGTTATTGATCAAGTTAGTACCAGATATAACAAAAAAAACCCTTTTGGTAATCTTGATAACACATTTATGGATTATATGGGACTACTTGTAAATCATAGGTTATAACACTAATTGTTAAATATTATATAACAATTTAGAGTATGTATTATATGGATAATATTATCTCACAAAAACCTAGAACATACAACCTAGTTAAACTAGGTTATATGTACATGAAGTTTATAAATTATAATTTTTTAATTTATATCATAGTTCAAAAAATATAAACATTAGCGACCTACTGCCTCTTAACCTGCAAATTCTAAGTCTCGTTGTAAACAGGACTATTACAATAACATACACAATAATAGTTAAAGAGGGTAGATTCTAAATACTTACTGACGCTTCTCAGCCAAGATTTCCCAATACTTTTCAGATGGACCTTCTGGATTGATAAGGTCATCAACAGTGATTTTAGAATCTAAGTTTGCTTGTGTTTCTTTAGTTGATGAATTCTTCCTTTTTACTTCCACCTCCCTAGAAATACAGTAGAATAGTAATAAGGATTTAGTAGTAACATTAACAAAAACAAAATCCTCAGTAATTTGAGATTTCAACAAATACGTTCTACAAAAATCTTTCAAAAACTTACACTTGAGAGTCGTGGCTAAGTTGATGTTTTAAACTTTTCGATGGTCTACCCACAAGATTTTCTCTATCAGCGGCAGTGTGTTGAAGAGTTTTAAGAGACTTCCTTGTCACTCTAGTGGTTTCCTGTAAGAAGTTTATTATGTCTATAGAAATGTTAATTAAAATACCGAGTTATGACATAACAATGAAAGAAATTCACTACCTGAAGATCTTGACCGCTCATCGTGCCACCGTATTATTATCCCAATATGCAGATGAAGTAAATAAAATCACAAAAGCCTTTAATTAGGACCTCTATCACTTATATTTTCATAACATAAATAACATCCAAAGCAAGCCGCTCAAAGTGTGGCAGTAATGACACTAATGGCAGTAATTAAGAGAACGATTCCCGCCATATTTTATTTTTAATAATTCGCTTTGATTTCTGATATTGCTTTGGATAAGAGTTAATTCGGATGACGATGTAGTAGATGATGATGTAGTCCATCTACACATACACGGTAACATCACAATGTTATGTTACTGTAAAATTATTTGTTTTCCAAACATTACAATTTTTAGGATATCAATTTTTTTCAAACCAATTTTTTAGTACTTTATATTATAATCAAATATATCTTATATAAATTTGTCTACTTAATTAGTTTGGTTACTTATTTTGGTTATTACTATTTTACGGCAAAAAGCCGCCATTTAGTTTTTTCTTTCAAAAAGTCATCTAAGGAGACTTGGGTTTTTATGACGGAAAAAACAATTCCTTGAGGGTCGAAATCCATTTATTTAGCCATTTGGAAGATCCGAGGTAATAAAGAAATTTACAAACAAACATACAAGATACGCGCGATAAACATAACCCTCTCGTAGCAGTCAGATTAAAACCCCATACCAATTTCGAAACTGTAATTTTTGACACATTATTAATATAATTTATTTTATAGTTATTTTTTATGCCTGCTTTGTTTATACTTATAATGAACAGCATAATTCGACGCATGTATATTATAAATAAAGCAAAGTTTCAGGTCATTTACAATAATTGTCAAATCTTTCAAAAACATCGAATCTTCCAGCAACCATTTCTAAGACATGGAATTGTAAGAGTTCACTTTAATTTCATACCTAAGCACGAAACTTTTCACTTCTTAATAGTGCAAAAACGCTGTCGTTTCTGGTTAACGCGTCGCAGAACTTTTTTGTTCGAGAAGCTTTCACACGTTTCTAGAAATACTTTTAAATTACGCGCCTCACAGCCGTAAGGAAGTATAAGCAAGATTTAACAATGTAGAAGTTCTATATGCAAAAGTGATTTTAATTATACGATTGCAGAACAAGCATTTTGCTCTCATTAAATTGGAATGTAAGTGTCATTAAGCCGTGTACAAATTAAATGCCGTAGGTGATAATATACAGCCTTGTCAAACTTCTCAGTACAGATTTTGGATGATAAAATATTATAAATTAAACGTACATCTTTGTGATCTACGTCGCGTAATGCTGCAATTACACAGTAGTGTCAAATTCTGTCAAAGGCTTCTAGTAATCGATAAAACAAAGGACAAAGTCTTGTTCTGTCTTTACAATTTTATATTAGAACATACCCTGAAAAATGACACTCTCGCGCCCACTTCTGTTTTACCAAAAAAAAAAAAACACCAGGAAGAATTCATCTTTAAATCATTCATTAGTGACTAAGAGAATTTACATAAAAATGTTAATATGTTTTGCAAAATGTCATTTTTATTTTAATGTTCTTAGATACACAACTTTGTGCATAATAGATTATAAGATTATGAATGTTAAAGTCAATTTCAAACATCAGGTTCATGAATTTAATTACTGTACATCAACTTCATCATCATCACATCAACTTAGGTATTTTCGATGTCATTATTATACCATCATATAACTTATTATATACCTATACATGAAATTATAAATCCATTTTATAACTTATTATATATATTATTTATTTAGCTTGCTACATTATACTAATCTGTGCTATTATTGCAGGCGCAGTTATAACACAGAGTAGGTACTATTGTTCAATATGTATAACCACATTTGAAAAAATATTGTGTATTAGCCAAAGCTGCGATTGGCTATTGTAAAGTGGTGCATGGGTTTGATCGTAGAACTGGCAGGATATTAGAAATTTCCTCAGCCAGCTACAGAACTCGACTTGAAAGAGATAGAGGGAACTATCTATTATTCATCTCTTCTTCTTTATCTATACAAAATAAAGTCAAAATGTGACACTGACATTTCAACTGTCTGTTTGCTTTACCTGACGTAACTGACAGACAAATATTCATTGCAAATATTACATTCAACGTTCAGTACTTCAGTCGGGTTTAGTGTGAAGTGTTATTGTAGTTCTGGATGTGTTTGAAAAAGAATCGTAATTAATTAATGTATTTATAAAGAACCGTTTTCTTAGATTGTAAAATCAAAGTAGTGTATTTTTTTTATCATGGTTGAAGAAAGCTAAATAGTTTTGTATTGCCCATAAAACTATTATAATTAAATTGGAGCCTTATCTTATCTTTACCTGGAGTTTTATCATACTGTTAGTGTATCGATCCTCAAGAAGATCTTGTAGGGAGTACATTAATATCATTGAGGAAAATGGATACTCTAAAGTAAGTATGTTGTAAAATGTTCTAGATTGACAAATATTTACAAATGTACTCTTAGATATAGTGATGAAGTACTTAGAATAGTTGCGTCAAAGTACTCAAGGTGACCGTAGTAATATCATTAATAAGTTTTTTACTATTTTTGTGGTATTATGTTCTCATTCATTGTTGTTTTCTCATTTCAGATTTTATTTTGTCACTTGGAATGTGGCCACTAAGTCCCCAGGACAAGATCTAAATGCCTTGTTAGACTTTCCATCTCAATTCAACAAGAATAAGCCCTTACCAGATTTTTATGTAATTGGGTAAGTGATATATAATTATATCTAGTACTTGCATAATGTGTAGTGCAATCTGCAATTTACTCGGTCAGTGGGACACCAATATTTTAGGAAATATTTAATATCTGAGACCGTCATTTAATTTGAAGCTCTTTTGTGGGTGCAAAAGTAGATTATTAAATTTGTTATAGTTCATTAAATGAGAGATAAACTTACATTAGATAAAACTAAAATATGTAAATACGTATTTAGTGTTAATAATAATATTAAATCATTTTTATTCCAATTTTTTATTTATATAATGTAATTCCCCTGAGCATGCTTAAAAAGCATAGACCATCTCCAGTACCTTCTACTACTATCTATCTGCTTCCCCTCTAAGGTCATTTTCAAATTTTCTCACTTTTTGCCCTTGACTCCCGAATTACTCTTGGGACCAACCATTGCTACAAAAGAGCAATTGTCCAGTCCATGGGTTCAATCAGTCAGTTATATAGTGTTGCTTTTAAATGAATGAATAACAGCAGGAGTATTGGTGCACATATGGAAACTTCCTTGGAAACATTTCTTCGATCTATGATCTTTGATATATTATTGTGTACCTATTTCATAAATATAAGAATTTATCAAAAAATGCATTTTTGGCAACAGAGGCATCCTTGTGACAACATTTCATATATTTATAAAGTTAATAATGAATTATGTGTGTATTTAAAATCTATACTAATATTATAAAGCTGAAGAGTTTGTTTGTTTGTTTGTTTGTTTGTTTGAACGCGCTAATCTCAGGAACTACTGGTCCGATTTGAAAAATTCTTTCAGTGTTAGATAGCCCATTTATCGAGGAAGGCTATAGGCTATATATCATCACGCTAAGGCCAATAGGAGCAGAACACCAATGAAGAATGTTTCAAAAACGGGGAAAATTTATTACTATTCAGAGACGCAGACGAAGTTGCGCGGGTCAGCTAGTATTTAACTAAGATTAAACTACTAGGTATAATAGGAATTGTAGGGATGATGCATAAATAGGTAATAAGTTATGTCCACATTATTCTCTATAAGGTTTGCTTAGTCAGATAATGTTATCAGCATGGTCAATGCCAAACCTATAAGTTACATATAGGTTTCATTGAAAGGTAATCATTTTCTTTTTCTGAAGGATGTAAATGTCTGATAATAATTTCAAGAATATTACTGCTTACTGCTAATATTTTAAGGAATGCTAGGTACAGACTAATCACTAATAAGCAGGCTTAATGTAAGTATAGTGTTAAGAAATATGTTATAAAGAAATGGAGGAGGATAACACAAGTCAGAAACAATTTTTTTTTCTCATGTATTTAATTTTTTTTTTTCACATTTTGCTATGTATGAGTATGTTAGTTTATTTATGCCATAATTAAGAATTTTAAATGCTGGAATATGTACATGTCTATAGTATATAATAAATCTAGTTATTGCTAACGTGGTTGGTCATGTAATTTCATGGAGACAATGCTGTGTGCTGCCATCGATATATATATATATAATATATATCACACATCTCACACACGGCCGTCTGACCCCAAACTAGGCAGAGCCTGTACTATGGTAACCAGTCTGCTGATAAATATACTTATATATTTTTAAATATATACATATTATAGATAAATTACACCCAGAAACAGAACAAATGACCGTGCTCATCACATAATATTTGTATATACATTATCAATATCTAGTAGATTGCATCCTTAACTTTCTTGAGTTTTTCCTTTCTTTATTGCTTTTCTTCTCTTTACTCATTCGTTCATTCATTGCAGGAGAAGAACTCACCTTGCCTTTGTGTGATCTATTTTTAGGCATTTTTTTTGGAAATATTTAGTTGTACAAAAAGAATAGAAATTAAACAATACATGAAAAAAACTTAATTTGAAATCTGTATTAAATTTATTCTTACTTGAGTAATACTATTTTTAAAAGTTAATTAATGTGCTTTTAACAACTTTTTTCCTTTGATTAAATCTTTCCTTCATTATTCTTTTTAGGTAATTTAGTTTCTAGTATTTGAAGTTGAGTTTGAATTTATTTCTAATGAGGAACTATTACAGGCTTCAAGAAGTCAAGTCTCAACCGCAGAATATGTTAATGGATTCCTTGTTTACTGATGCATGGACCTCAACATTCAACAAAATACTTTGCCGCCAAGGATTCATTATTGCAAAGTCTACAAGACTGCAGGGTTTGCTATTACTAGTATATAGTCAAATGAAGCATGTCACACATCTGAGAGACATAGAAGCACAGTATACCAAAACGGGGCTAGGAGGAATGTGGGTAAGTTTAAACGTACTGTTCATATTTAGTTTTTTAAACAAGTACAGCTTAAGATAATATAATGTATGTATGGACTTTTTCCTTTTGAGATCCTAATCAGATTATGATAAAACATTTAGGAATGATAACTTGATGTCAAGTGTTCTCCGAACTGAAATCCTCCTGTCACCTTACATTTAAATTACTTATTCGTTATACAAGGAACATTCAGGCACCTTAATTGTTGGGACCGGGAGAGGTTTAGAACTCTCCCGGCCCGCCAGGCCCGGGAACGGGCCAGGCACCGCAGGCGACTCAGGCGCCGGAGGTCGCAGAACGACCTCCGTCCTCCATAAGCGCAGGCCGGGGGGTGACAGGTGAGGCCATCTGTCACCCTAGCAGAAGCAGGCCGGGGTGGCGGCGAGCGCGTTGCGAAGCGCGCTCGCTTCCAGGGAGCACAGGGAACATGGGGTTCCCACACGGGGGGGGGGGGGGTCCATCTACTCGTCTGTAGATGACCCGAGGTATGTCGGGGCACCAGGGACTTCCTTTCTAGGGTATACCTGGTTCCCCGGCTATTAGTAGGTTTTAGTCGGTTCGAGTCCGACATGCCACCGACAGGTGGTATCCGAGGGGATTTTCGCACGGAAAAAAAAAAAAAAAAAAATTGTTTATAGTTTAATCCTTGCACCTGCAAATTAACACGAAACCAAATACCTATTTCATCGTGTTGTGACACTGCCCACTATATAGTATTAATTGATACTAAAGTGTGTTTCTTTAGGTTTGCTCTTTTCTAATTCTGTAGCTAACATTATGAAATGACAAACTTAAAGAATAATAATGAAGGAATACATAGTATCAGTCAGCCTATATGTATGTATTTAGGAATATCAGGAAAATAGATAATTTTTTAATGATTATGATAAAACTTTATGTTTTTACGACTTTATGTTATATGATTGTATTTTTGTTTTAAAGTTTTATTGCTACAAAATATATATATAAAACTAAAATGGAATTATAAAAATAAACTGAAAATTAAATTATATAAAATCTTAAATAGGTTTTTCAAAATCCAGAGGGTGTTCATTTTTAATATCTTAAGTTCAAGTAGGTACTATACTAGGTACTAAGAGAAGGAAAACTTGACACAAACCCTATAATAACCCGTCTGGCCAGGATGGTATAGTAGGCCAAAACCTCCTTTCTAAGGAGAGGCCCATGTTCAGCAGTGGACTATTAAAGGCTGTTGATGAAGTAGATACTACACTTGCATGTATAGGCAAAATTAAATAAATATATCTAAGTAGAGGCATAATTAAATATGTATAAAAACATTGTATCTCAAATTAGATGAGTCATAAAACTTATTCTTAAAAATTCCTGTAAACAATATTAAGGATGGAAAATAGTAAATCCCCAATCTTCGTCACAGTATTCCATGAGCCAGCTTAATTAGAATACATTACTAATACAGAACAGTACGTGACACCAGACGGTTCGTTAAATTAGAAGTAACCACAGCACTCTCGACTATTATAAAAGGAAATTTTGAGGGATTTTTCTGCTATACATTAAGATTACAGTAAAGAACCTGATTGTTAATGTTATTCGTGTTCAAAGACAGAAAGTGGCAAGGTGACCCATCAAATATTTTTTAATCCTGATGAGTTTGATCTATTAAGAAAAATCCATGCGCATAGGTACTTAGGGTTAATATAAAAAGTTATGATAGTAATTTGATATCTGCAACTTGTTAAGGCGTGTAATGCAGTTAATACAAATGATACGGCACAGCGATCAAATTAATTTTTGTGAATTTCGTCTTACACATAGCCAATTCACAAAATTCTAAAATGCTAACTGATTTTGTTTTCTAACGCATTAAAGTCAAGCTAGCTAACTATTGTCATAATAATATAATATTAGCGACTTTCGTAGTAATAACGATCTCGTAATCATAGCGAAAATCGTAATCAGTTGTTTATACCTACTTTATCTATGTCTTAGTGTTACATTAATCCTACACTTCAACTCCTAATTTTATCATTTTCCTCTTTTATCATCCACTGGTTGCGTGGAAAGTAGGACAGCCTTTTCTTACCAAAACTAAATAAAATAGTATCTATTTAAAAAAAGCGCTAGGCGTACTATCAAAAATACGATGTTTAATTATTTATTAAAGCAGTGTTTTTATCTGGCGCTTTTGGATATTACACAAACAGAGACAGTTAATTTAGAGATACGAAGTTAGTTAGACTAAAAATGTATAGGTATTCGCCGTAAAATAGCCTGTGCATAGATAATATTGCCAACATTCCGACTCAATGTATCGTTAAAATCTGTGATAAGGTTCAGAATAGTAACCACGTTATCTGCATGAATCTATATCGTCAACGACTATTGATAATGCATAATGTTTTGTAATAATCATAATTACTTTTTACTCACTTATTTTCAAATCTGAAAAAGCAGTATAGGTATTTATTCAATAGCAATAAATAATTGTAAAACAATTATTATACTCCCCTCTTCTCGTCACACATTTGTCAAAGGACTTTGCCCAATATTCCACGTTGGGCTCATTATCAGTCTGCAAGTCACCGCAATGGGATCGACTCATACACCTGTAGCTAATTTTTAAATAAACATGTGAAAACCTATCAAATATTTTTTTCAATGCCATCTCTTAATGTTTCATCCAATTAACCAAACAGTAGTCTTAATAAACAGTACAGTTCTTAAACCTACGAAAACGCTATTCCCAATCTGGTCCTGTCATGTTTCGCGTTTTGGGTTCTTGCGCATTTTTCACGACGACTATTGTTATTATCAGTATCTAAAGACGCCTGAACTGTAATAAGGGGAACGGGATCTTATACTGTCTCCTTCTTCCTTCCTTCTCTTCTTCTCTTCTTCTTCCTTCTCCTTATACTGTCGGTGGTCTCCTTGCACCACCGTTTTCTGATGCTTTCTCTGATGCGTACGTTCTGAGTATATAAGCCTTCTCAATATCCACGTCTATACTTTTACTACTAATCTGTATATAATCCAACCGGCCTTTGACTAGTGGACAAGTGGTTAATGTTCCTGTAGCGTACAGAAACAAATACGATACAGTATTGTAAATGTCTAATTGGCACTAGAGGATAGCCACTACGTAATATTTAAGTATTCCAATTGAAGTTTAAACTGCTGTGGACGTAATACATTACTATTATTATTGGCTTGTGCGACTTTTAATTAACTCTTGACTGATTTATATGATAATGAAGTTGTTTGTCTTCAAGGCGCTTTAAGATGTGCTAAGAAATTAGGTTCGCATCGCAACAACACGAAATGCTATTAAGAGTGATGACGCAATAGCACATCATGTAAAAAAATATATAGAATATAAATATATAGGGTGGTTTGAAAGACACTACTGAATCAAATTTGAGTATTTCGTTTGTTTAAATACGTTAATCTATGGATATTAAAGACGATTTGATTAGTTTTTTGTAAGATATCCCTATTATTGAATACGGTATATGTTGGTATATATCATGTACTGATACAATAATATGAAACTAGTCAGATCCAAATATTTACAAATTCCAGCAGCTTTCATTTTAATTGAAATAGCAGTTAGCCTTCTAAACACGGTCTAAATTAAAATCATTTACAGTTATAAATGGCAATGAACCATGGTTTCTTCGAGGTAAAATACTATACAAGGCGCGCAAGCTGACAGATTGATATCATTTTACCTGTTATGTAAATGTGTATAAAAGTAAACATAAATAATTACAGTTACATTTCATTCTTATTGTGTTATGAATATAACAATAACATTGCACCATTATGTGTATTTTTTTCGCCAATTAGATCCAACCTCAATTGCGAGCTCACTTTTGTTTACGACTGAGGTGTCTATTAACCAGTATATTCCATATTTTTTCTAAAATAGTTCAACCGGGTATAATTAGTCTTTTTCTTAAAGTAACAGATGACCATAGGGTTTGCGGAGTTAAAGTTTCTGATATACCTGACACAGAAAAAGGAATAATTCTTTGTTCTGTAATACCCACATTAATACGACAGTATTTCAAACCGCTGTTAAAACTTATGGCTTTGACGTCGAAATCGTCTGCTATTACAAGCCGGAAATAAAATGAGATCGCCAATCGTGCTCTAGTTTGTATCAAAATGAAATCATTAGTTTAAAAATTACCCTTTAAATCAGCACAATAAGGAGAGAAAATGCTTTGATACTTGAGTTACTTATATTAAAAAAAAACTTACAGTATTATCGCATGGATTTTCCTAAGTTTCATGTAGAAAAGGAAATTATCGTGAAAAAATAAAAAAACTTAGATGAAGTTGTTACTTTTGCCCACTGTGCGTGCCCACTACTTCATTTTATTTTGTGCATATTCACTCAGTTGTTGCTTGTGATTAAATTTTACTTTCTCCAAATAACTGTTATGCAATGTTACAAACGTATTTGCATTACTTTTACATTTATTTGCAAACCAAAATAATAATATAACTGAGGTGTGACACAACTTACACTACAAACATTACAATGTACACTATAATGTTTTTTTTGTTATCACGTGGTGACGTCTTTTTTTGTTGACGGGGTGAAAAATCGCAGGACGTAGAAGCCAGAACTATGAGGTGTTTTTACTAAAAACCACCCAGACGGACGGCCGGTCTCAGGCGCCCTACTCCGAGGACGACTCGAACCATATTATTTCAGGTCCCAACAGATCGACGCCGCGCCTACTAAGGCCCTATCCCGGGAATGTTATGGGCTTCAATCATCACATGTTGCGGGCCAATCATCACATGTTGCGGCCCGATTGCATTTTTACGACCGGGCCCCCATGCTATGCCAGAAGCCCCCACTCTTTTTCAGCCTGTGGCCCCGTCGACGGCTGGTATTGCCGCCAATGTTTTCCCCGCTCTCACCTCTGCGGATCGCGCGGTCAATAGTCATAGACCGTCGCGTCCATGTCCGCTAGGATATCAAAAAGCGGATAACGTGCCAGGACTGTCGCCGCCTCCGACAAGATGCTGCGGTATTCCCGTACTATCCGAATAGCCGCTACCTGCTGTGCTTGATTGAGCTTAGCTCGGCAGCGGGAGGAGGCCTATAGGCGCTTAGCCCATATCGGCGATCCGTAGAGGATCATGGATCGTATCACCGCACAGCAGAGGTGGCAAACTTCTTCCCGCGCATTCCCTAGATTAGGCAACAGCCTCTGTGGGGAGCAAGACACCCTGCGAACTTGGGGATCATCCAAACACGGGGTGACCTACCATCAGTCACAATAATTGTTAGGACATTGTAAATTTTACTGCAAGTAGTACGACTTATTAGTAATATTTACCGCTTAGATATAATATGTACTATGCTTAGATATTATGTGTATAACTACTTGTGCGTTATTTGTCATATATCTATGTATACAACAATTCATACATATTGTAAATGATTTTAAAATTACTGCATCACATCAACAGTCTTTAACAGTCCACTGCTGGACATAAGCCTCTCCTTAGAAAGGAGGTTTTGGCCTACTATACCACGCTGGCCAGACGGGTTGGTATAGGGTTTGTGTCAAGTTTTCCTTCTCTTTGCAGTGCTGTTGTCCTGCGTAGTTTGCTCCCTTAGTCGGCTCTTACGACACCCACGGGATGAATAGGGGTGGTGACACTCTGTATTTATACTAATTACTGCATACTTTAAATTATAGTTTTGTGTATGAATGTGTGTATCATACCGGAGCAGTTTCTTAATAAAAAAAAAATAACTGCACAAAAACCACAAACTAAAACTAATTGAATGTTATATAATTATGTTTACGCACAGGAATTAACGCGATCACGTAATTGGTTTTTATATATTTCTGCACTGAAGTTTATATACCTATTATAGTATAGCTAATTTTATATACCTACATTTAAAAAAGTAACGATGTGAATGTTAGAAATAATCAATTATGAATAATGTTTGGAGGGCTCAGAATCGCAATAGCCATCATTGCCATCTTTCCTACCTATCGCCACTACATATATACTTTCCCACCTAATTCTTAAAGTCCCCGGCTGACGGTAACAGATTAGTACCCTACTACTTAGGTGAGACTAAAATTAGAGTTAGCAAACGAAGGCGTTTAATACGCCTGTCTTACTTTCTAGATAAAAACGTGAATGTGTGACTATGTATGTAAGCTATTATAGATTTCAACAATTAAATTAAAACATTAAAACAGTAGTAAAACTTTTGCCAAAAACGAAAATTAGAAAGTGGTACTTAAGAATGTGATAAGAGTTCTAAAAGTCAAAAGTGATAGTATATATAAACTATTGACGGTTTTTTTTTGTGACGTGATATCTCTTAAATAACATAATTCTCATCTCGAAAATGTTATCAGTAAAAAGGGAATTCCTTGTTACAGGGCAACAAAGGGGCAATCAGCGTAAGGTTCAATATCTACGGTTGTTCGGTGTGCCTCGTGAATTGTCACTTGACTGCGCACGAGCATCTGTTGGCGGATCGCATCAATGATTATAACACAATAATCAAACAACATGTTTATCACGTTAATGAGACATCCAGCATATTGTATCACGAGTAAGGATTTATAGCAATATAACTTTTGCCCACGGCGACGCTTTTAATTATGTAGATATTCTCTATATTTTCGAGTAAACTTCGGGAAAAATACTTTGGGAAAAGGGTATCTATGCCCTTGTCTATACTCCTGGCATCGTGCGTGCTAAATCACACGATGATTGGTTGAGTAGTTAAGGCGTGATAGCGTAACAAATAAGGCAACTAAAAAAATGTAGATTTTCGTTCGTGTTATTATTAAAAATGCAGAGAAAGTATAATAGCTATTATTAATTTCAAACGACTTAATTGCATGACAACATTATTGGGAGATTCTGTTATTCAATATCAAAGATTTTCTAACAACGGTGAAACACGCTTTTTTTCAATCTATAAGCCTACTTATTCGTTTCATACGCTTAGCGGTCAGACTACTACGTAGCAGGATGGTATTGATTTTAGGGTAACTATTTATATATTAAACACGCTTGACCTTGATAGTAAGGTTTACAACTCAGTATAACAGTATAAGGTCGAAACCAATTGGAATAGATGAATTTCTGTTTCGAGTTGTTTGAGTGAAGTTTTTATGTACTTAATGCTCATTATCCCAAGTAAGAATTCCGCATGACAGAAATGCTATTTTTTAATTTTATTGTGAAGATCGCTTATGATTCCAACGAGAATGTTGAAAACAAAAGCAGTAATTAAAATAAAAAAAATAATGGACTAGCGGGACCATCTGTGAATATATTTATTTCTCCTGATGAAATCATCTATGTCGTTGCCTCTATGTTGCATCTATGTTTGCCAATGACAACGTCATTGGCAAACAGTGCCATCTAGTAGTGATCTTTTAGTAATTACCGGACTAAGTTTAGAATACGTATAATAAATATATTAATATACTTTTTCTAATGCATCATTGATATTATTTAAACAGTCTCTGTCTCTTTATAGTTATGTCATATGGATAGGCGACTTAAACTTTCGAACAGACTATCCTTCGGACGACAGTCCAACAGCGGAGGCTATTGTTGCAGCGCTACAGAAGATAGAAAAGGACAAATATACGAATTTACTAAAGCACGACCAGCTTAACGCTGTTATGGAAACTGGAGAAGCTTTTTCTGAATTCACTGAACAAGAAATTCGGTTTCCTCCTACCTATAAGTTCTTCATTGGTACTGATGAGTACGACATTAAGTAAGTATTAATTAATTACTCAATATTTTAATCTTACTAATATAATAAAGACGAATGCTTTGTACGGTTGCATTGATGTTTATTACTATTTCACCAAAAACGGCTGAACGGATCTGGATAAAATTTGGCACAGAGATAGATAGACGTTATTGTACTAGTACGATATTCATGTGGTATACTGATCATCCGATGGTTAGTGAGTCTGAGCTGAATTAATTTAAGAATTGCTGTAAAAATTACATCTCACGTATTCTTAGGTGACTCAGTGTTTCAAAGTATCTCCAAGGTAATTCGTTGTCACTTATTTGGGTTAGGTTCTAATCATAATCATTAATTGGCCTGTTCTCGTCTACTGCTGGACATAGGTTTATCCTAACGTACCTACGTTACTGAGTTAAACGCTGATTTGCACGGATCGTCATTCCATATGGCCTATTGTAAGTACTTAGTGAGGGCTTCTCGTTAAATTGCCTCTCTAACTCAATTGTAATTTTTCCAATTGAACTGCTACTTACAAAGTTTTCATCATCATAATATTTAAAAATGAGATGATCTATTCATTAAAAAATATTTTTTTAAAACGCATCTTAGCTCCTATAGTTAAACCGCCTTAAGCTTGGCCCTCCTGATGTTTTGGGGGACGCGGGGCGGGCGTGCATTCAACCAATTAGGTAGTGCGTCGCTGTCCGCCGGCAGTGTCTGACGTGAAAGCATGGCTGTACGTATTATTTTTCTTAAGACTGCTACACACGGTATTATTTTGCAACATGGATAATCAAAGATTTAAAAAATTGAAGTTCGGCTTACAGAGGTTCTACTGTTAAAGTTCTAATAAAGAATATTTATTATTTTACTTAATTTTTAAATTGTATCTGAATATAATTTACATGGTGAAGATAAGGTGATTTTATTAAAATTATTTTACAGTATTCAATTTTACAATTAATCATAAAAACTTACAATACACTGACATTATAATACATGGAAATAAATTCGATTTTTATTACATCGTGTGTAGATTAAATCTCAAACAAATAAATCTGAAGATATCGAGTTAGTACATCGTGTCATGTATAGCCGAGCGCATCACCCGCCCCGCGTCCCGCAAACCATCAGGAGGGCCAAGCTTATGGCGGTTTAACTATAGTAGTAGCTCCTAGTACTATATTGTTTTCAAACAACTAAAGTCTTAAAAGGCCTCAACATCGCCGTTTCGTTAATAGATTCATATATATATATATATATATATATATATATATATATATATATATATATATATATATATATATATAAATCTATGTATAATCTCAAATATACAAATATATAAAAAGTAAAACTGAAAACTTTAATAAGAAAATAAAAATCGCGTACAGTAAAGCGATTTCCAGTTTACTGTGATAAAAGTGTGTAATAATTTAATGTTTCTTATTAACTAGGAGAAAACCATCATGGACCGACAGAATACTCTACAAAGTAAATGCAAACAACTACGAGAACGTCACGCTTAGGGCCGAAGTGCTGCAATATCACGATATTGCCCACTACACCGTGAGTGACCATAAGCCTGTGGTAGGCCTACTTAATATAAAGGTCAGTACATATCGCTTAACTCTTTGGGTCATGGTATCACGTAGCATTGTAGATAGTCTTAGCAGTAATTGTTGTAGGTTAGTCAGCTCATTAGCAACTGTCCTCTTTTCCACTTTACCTTGAAAACACGTTTTGGGTTAATGAACGCATCATTATAATTAGCGGTATGAATTTGTCGCCTATGCCTAATGAGACCTTTGTAAAAACCTTTTTTGTCTTAGGTTTACTACTACTACATTTCTTTTATCCAAAACAAACATTTTATATAGACGTGTGTAAGGCATATCGGAAGTTGCATTCACATTTAATTATCACACTATTGTACAAATACGTGTTTTGTTGGTATTTGAACTTGTATATTCTAATTTATTTAACGGATGGTTGTTAATAGTTGTATATTTTGGTGTGGATGAATAGACGAAGTTTTAGTTATTGGTGTAATATATGTATATTATGTACTGCTATGTAAATGTAGCCCGAAATAATGATTTTTAACATACGATTGTTATCACAAGCACATTTTAATGATAATTAACCTTCTCACGTGTTCCATTGCTCATAGTAAAAAATATAGGTGTGTTTTTTTTTATCATATATTAATATAAAGAAATACACCTTTAATAACTAACTGAAGTTATGCCTTATTGCTGCTGTAAAATTCTTGCTGTATAAGATTAGGTAATAAACAAGCAACCACCCAACTTTTGGTAAGCGGTTATTTTAAAGCTTGTTACATTAAAGTTAAATCACGTGGCACAGCTAGTATACTGCTCTTGAAATATGAGTCAAATTTGACTCATATATTAAGTGTGAGTCGACTTTGATACTAATACACTGTTTTTCAAACCACATAAGTTTTATAAATATTTATTAATATCGATACCTCCTAAGTATACTGAGTCATCTAACAAATTTAGGTATTTTAATATTTTTACATAAACGGACATACTAAACCATGATCTTGATGTTAGTGTTAAAAATAAATAAAAAAGAACAAGAATTACCGAGATATTTTCACGTATACTAAATCAATTTCAACATCAGTTAAAATCGTACATTGTATACTGATCCAAATGATGTCGTACCAGTGTACGCCGGACGTGTGGGGGGAGTGATTTTTTTGGAATTTACTCAACGACAATGTGAATAATACCAATAAAACAATAAAATAACTCCGGAATCGGTGATACAATGCAAAACAGGGATGAAAATGGTAAGTTATCTTTATTTTACGTGTATTAGTGTGATTTTGTAATTTCTGTTTGATAATTGTTGTTCATGTTGCTTAGTACGCCGTATACTGATACAACTTTAGTTACACTAGTATACGGCGAAATAACGTTATAAAGAAGACACTTGACTCATCTGGCTATAATAATATACTAATTAAACTTTTGATAGTTTTGTATTAATTGTGTTATAATACACATTTTTTTATCTGTTATATATTTTGTTACTTGTTATTGGCATGTTCAACACAAAAATATGAATTCTTGTGTTTTTAATTTAAATTATTGTTTGTTTTAGAGTTTCCTTTGCCACCTGATACAAATTTTACAGAAGAGGAGCTGTCAATACTGATGAAATTGATTTGAATGATAGCATAGATGTATTGTAGAATATCCCTTCCAACGCTTCCATAATATTATTCCCTGATTATAATATTCCTTGCTCGTTTATCGAAATTCAAAAAGAAGTTCGATTGCCATCAGTCATAGAAAATGCTCTAGGTAATTAATACGTAATTAATAAAGAACGTCATACGTTGTAGGCGAATTTCAATTGCTAAAAAAGATAAAGGAAAGCTAAGGGAACGTTTTTATAAAATGGTAGGATCGGGAGAGGAAATATAATGTTAATAGAGGGTTGGAAGATGTCAGAAGAAACGGAAGAGTACATGGTATAAGAGTTATAAAAACTTCTTGCCCCGTAAATTGTTGGCAAAAATGTAATGGGAAATTAACAGAAGATATTCGGCAAAGAATTTTGACATGTTTTGGAGTATTGGAGACCACACAAGACAATTTTTTGGCAAGGTATGCTGTAAGAGCTTAAAAGAAATATAAACACTGGATAAAGATAATTCAAAACGTCCTCACGCTATTTTTTATTACCCTTCAAGCAGTTAAGGGGATAAAATTGAGAGTACCAAAATATAATAATATTTGCAAAACTATGTTCTTCATTAACAGCCTTTATCAGTTCACTGCTGGACATAGGCCTCTCCTTAGAAATGAGGTTTTGGCCTACTATACCACGCTGGCGAGACAGGTTGGTATAGGGTTTGTTTCAAGTTTTCCATCTTTTTGCAGTACTGTTGTCCTGCGTAGTTTAACTATGTTCTTAAGAACCCTTTTTATTGGTTTTAATTTTGTTTATACGGCTTTAGGAAAGTCCGATAAAGGAGATAGATTTATTGAAACAGATCAGCGTGGTAGGCAAAGTAATTATCTAAAGATTATCAATGAAGATGTCGTTCCCAGTGTTGTAGACTACGTTGAGGTATTTTCCACAGTAGGATCACATTACACTCTCAAAAAATCAAGTATAAAATATCTTGAGAGCAATAAAGAGGACAACAAAGAGAGGTGCAAAAGAAGTTTCCAGCTGTGTTTTTCAGTTTATAGATGATACGGTGGGTGAAGTTGTCAAAGATTACCGGTTCTGGTCAGACAACTGTGGAGGCCAAACTAGAAACAGAATTGTTTTCTTAGTGTTTATGTTAGCTAGTTCAAAGTTAAGTACGATATTAGCCATCGCTTTCTGCTAGTGGGTCACACTCAAAACTAAGCGAGAGTATGCGCGCTTTAATTGAAATGCAGACAAAAGATAAAATGCTTTGTACAACTGATCAATCGTATACCAAATCCGATGAAAAGCCATACAAATTCAATAGAAGTGTATCAGCATTTAATAAAATACTTCCAATCAAAGCTAATACCTATAAACAACTGGACAACTACTAATGATGGATCTAAAATGCCTTGGAATAAAGTAACGGAGGTAGTAGTTAAAGCAGCATTTAGGGTATTTTATAAAACGAGTTACCAAGGTGATGCTTACAAGTAGATAGGTTATGTAAAGAAACCTAAAGCTACACGAAATCGAGGAGAGTTGTATATTGATATAGATAATATTTCTTTAACTTATCAGACACCAATTCCTATTGACCAAATAAGCACAAAGACTTGATGGATCTTTGTAAGACGCTAGCCTATCATTATCTAGGAGTATCATTTATTTTTTAATAATTTGATTTCAACTAACCCTAATGGCTCTCACATAGCTGATGACAGCGATTCAGACAGTGACTTTTAATTTATTAAACCTTTAAGATTTTCATTTATTTTGTTAAACCTTACAGCTGTTTATTGAGCATTAGAAGTGCCTAGGAACGAATAACATAAATATCTAAAAGTTCTAAAATCTTCCTGTTATGAATATTGTTTAACGTAAGTTACTATATTTAGTTGAAGTATCTACATTAGTTTCTTATTTTATTGATTGTTTGTTGTTTCTTTTTCTGTAAATTTAATGAGACAAGATTGATAATTGGTTTTTGTTGATTTGTTCTTGTATCTTTACTCTTTACTAAGGCTAAATAATGTTCAAAATATGTTCCTACCTAATTGTAGCGAAGAAAAATACATTGTAATTATATAAAAAGAGTTGTTTGTGTTTATGATTCTTCTGCTTCTTTCTAGCCTTTATTGATTCCACATTTCGTAAGTCTAACCGGTTATTAGCTGAATATCATTTTTCTACGGATCGACTGCCATCTGACCTTCGTAACCCAAAGGGATACCGATATTCGTATAGTTAGACCGGTTGTCAGGATATTAGATAGAAGGCACTGACTTCCCAATAACGACGCCCAGGGATGAAACTCACGACATGGCAGTCGAACGTTCTACCACCAGGCTATAATCGTCACCTCACCTTGTTTTTGATTATACTTATATATTGAAGTTGAATAAACCCATAATTTTTATGTATAGATATTATAATAGAAATCAAATGAGTAATTAAAAAGTCTCGGTGAATTATGTTAGTCCAGTATACGTTGAGGTTTCAAATGCTAACATAGTTAAGTACTTTCCTAGTATAATGAGTCAAGTGATGTAATTTCAACATTTTATTATTAAGTGAGACAGAAAATACCGAAAACAACCAAAAGTAGGATGACGTTATCAAAATGACAATCCTATTTCATAATATATTGGGGTAAGCCATAGATTTTGATGTACAACGTACATGAATATAACTGGTAGTTAAACCATTTTACTGTTGAGTCCCGCCGGCGTATACCCAGTCAAGTACATAAAATATCATTTAAAAACCAAAATCAGCAAAATCATTTTATACCAAAGGAAGAGCTTCCATTCCTTATTAAAAAAACATTTAATTTATTACGAACAGGTTTAATTTCATTAAAATATATAACGATTTGCCTTCAAATCGCTCTCCTGTAAAATTACTACAATGTCAGTTGACTCATTATACTTAGGAGGTGTCGATATTTTCGCTATTAACTATTGCACGCTTGCATGGTAGATACGTCAGGCCTTCACTCGCTCAGTAGTCGAAGATACACCTAGAATAAACGCACGCTCAGCCGTTCGCATGCTCTCAGCAATGATGCCACCACCGAGCCTTGATACTGTAACGACTGCAAATATCCAGACTGAAGGTTTTGCCTTCAGTAGTGGAGTTTTAGAAACGGCATTTGATAACACCTGTCAGAATGTATCAGAGCCAACACCTGTGAGTATATTTGCATGTTTTATTACCGATTTAACTCTTACTATATAAACCGATCTACTGTTGAGGCCTTATCTTCTTATCTTCATTTTGCCCTGATCCTGAAGAGTGAACCTGGTCGTAAGTTGGATGCTGACTCGGGACAAATAATTGTGTGAAGAGCACGGTGATTTGTTCACATCACATCATCGCATCAACAGCCTATAATAGTCCACTGCTGCACATAGGCCTCTCCTTAGAAAGGAGGCTTTGGCCTACTATACCACGCTGGCCAGACGGGTTGGTATAGGGTTTATGTCAAGTTTCCCTTCTCTTTGCAGTGCTGTTGTTCTGCATAGTTTGCTCCCTTAGTCGGCTTTTACGACACCCACGGGATGAATAGGGGTGATTTGTTCTCCGAGTTTAATGTATCTATAATATGAATCATTATAGTAATATGTTTAGTATATGTGTGTGCTTAGTTTGGGATCAAGCGGCTGTTCATGCAGTGTCTCAAGTTGAAGTCTAGTCAGGAGGAAAAGTATTATGACATTAGGGATTAAAGTTTGAAATTACCATTTTGCAAAGAAGCTATAGAGCATAAAAGATGGTTTCCTGCGTTATTATAGAGTAATAATAGTGAAGACTGAGACAATTTTTTTACGAGTTTCGCAATTATTGTTCGGAGTTCTCTACAGTAGATAGCTGTTATTATGTCATACCGGTGAGAAAGCTATAGTAAGGTACCCCCAAACCGTTACCATAATCTTTTTATGGGTAAGCTTCGCTTTAAGGCTTTATTGTGGTAGTCGAGTACAATAAAACTAAAATAAATGCTATATGTTTATTTCACTTTTTTATTCCGGATACATAAATAGCAGCCCTCGTAATATCCTTTAATTTATTTTCTGTTTGTATCTAAATCACGTTAATATATTTCGTTTGTTAGACATTCTCGAACTACACCGAGAAGACGGTTGAGTTTGCGCCAATAAGCCGGGTGTGGTACATCGGTGATGCGGACTTCAGAACTCAATGCACCTTGACACCCGATATCGTGGTGAATCCGAGTGACTGGATTGGTATTTATGATGTAAGTATTAATATTCAATACAAGATCACACTAATGTCATGATCAAACTAATGTGCTGTTCGGAATTTAAAACTTGATTAAAAATATTAATAAGTCCATATAACGATAGCGTTTAAACTTAGCTCGTTCGGCAGACTATGTGATCTCCATTTTACTGTTTTTTTGTGGCCTGCTTTTCTGATAATAATGCTATTCGCTTTAGTGTCTAGTAAGAAGTCATTATATAATTATATCTCTGTCCACATATTCCTTTGAAAGTGTCTATAGTAATAAACACGAACATGAAAATGCCTGTAAAATGTGGTGGTTTTACCGGCATGTAACGAACGATTTTATGTACCCATATGCACTAATCACCGTATTCATGATGGTGGTGTCAAGATATGGCTTATCTGCTTGTCATTTCGAAATCCAACAAAACTGTTTCCTAGTTCATTTAACACGATAACATTACCTATCATACTAATATTCGTTGAATGGCGTTTAACATTGTACATGCCAGCCAGGCTTAATGCTATAAGACATGCTTATTTTCAATTTATGTGCAAAATAAATGTTTTATTTACTTTATTGTAACTAAAATAAATTTTGAATGTTTTTATATTTCTAATAGTTTTTTTTTTTAAATTAAAGTTAAGTAAATGTACAGTGTATTTACTTTTTTATTATTTATGCATTTTAAGATAAACAATTTCTGTCTTAATGTTATATACGAGTAGTTTAAAATTAACATCTTCATAATTCGTTAATTTGTGCTGATAATGCGTACATATATAAAAATAGATAATATGTATTTTTAGTAGTAGAATACTTGTAACAAACTAAATAGAAATTGCCGTTTATAAATGATCCAATTATTTACTATTTTGCCGCAGGCCAATTTCCACAGTCTAGATGACTACATAGCTTACGAATACCTCGCTAAGGTGACCCTACCACATACTCCAACTGACGTCGATCTACCGCGGACTATCACGCTAAGTTTCCCCGTCGGTAGTGGAGTGAGGACACCTGGGTTCTACAGATTCATATACTTCAGCCAACCGAACGGTGACGTCAGGAGTGTCCTGGGTCAGTATTTACCTCGTAGATCATATCATGTGATTTAGTAGACCGTGGATTGCCATGCACTATGAATATTTCATAAACATAAATATGGCTTCCTGTACTAGCCAGTTGCGAGTAGATGTCCCCGTCATAGTGGCCATTGCAGCTAGTCCGATCGCAGGACGGATAAACAGATATGCAACCTATTTATACACAATTCCATTTCCCCATCAAAGAATAGCAGTGTCGTTTACCTTTTCTTTCCTTAATTTCCTTTCCTTTCTCAAAATGATTCCATTCCCAAAGAAGGTTGGCTTCAGGTAGGCGACAGGGCCATAGAAGAAATAAAAAAAATGAGTCGTCTGGCAGATGTGAAACATCGGCATTATAGAAATAATAAGTATAAAAAGCTTTTCTTTTATACTCATTATTTATATAAAAAATGATCATTATATGTTACACCGCTTTACATGTTACATATGAGTACTATTACATAACGCGGCGACGCATGCAGTGGCGACGCGTCGACCCGCCTTCAGCCGGTCTGACCCTCCGCATTAGATGTTTCACAAGCCAAAACCTTTAGTTATATTACACATAACGCCAATTCGAAATTAATTAAGAAAAGGGGCAAAAAAATGATGATGATGATGATAGCCACTTGGCACTGAAACTAAAATATATTTAACAGGTATATCGGAGCCTTTTGAAGTATGCAGTAAGGAAGACATGTTAGTGAGCACAGAACAGAACGAACAAGCTTCTACTAGCGCTTCCCCGGGCCCAGCGAAACCAACCACTTCGACTACTGACATATTCACGGACTTCACTGGTCTTGATGTGGCGAAGCTCTCGCGACACTTCTCCAACGATCTCAGTATCGACTGACTAAAAACTTATTTGCCTGGCTCGCCGGCAAACGTCAGGAAAAATGACGGGTTCTAGGTATACCAACTAATTATTTATTTACAGTTGTCAAAATACGCACACGAATTCATATTTGATGGCTCATTTATATAGTTGATTGTTGTCGACTCCCTCTTAATGAGTACGATCAGAAGTATCACATTAAATGTATCCGTATAAATACCTGAAGAATTTAGGAACGTCACAAAATCATTAGAAGCACATTAGCCTTTAGTAGTTTAATAGTTTTTTTGTCACAATTACTTTTATAAAGATAATAAACTTGCGACGTGTATCGTGAATTAAAGAACGTGTTGTGATGCGTTCCTAAAATGGTTAATCATCCTTTTTTTAAATCATTACTGCGTATTTTGATAACAGTAACTTTTTAGTGTATTTGGGTAGGAATGTTCTCTTAGCTTTAAGTATAATGAACAGTCACGTATAAAATGGTTTGCTTCGATTTATTTTTAGATGTGGTGACAATTAACCTTCTATTAAGTTAGTTATATAAGGTGTTCGGAGTAAATGCTTGCGTGCACGCACCTGTATCGTCACAAGTATTGTTATGACATTAAATTCTAAGTCTAAATGTTATTGAGAATTGATTAGTTAATTAGTGGAACTAAATTTGTCTTGAAGAGTTTTTTTATTTATGTTTTGTTGGCATTTATTTACACTCATTATACTAAAATAATTTTAAACAAAAACATTGTAATAAAAAAAGACCGACTTCAATAAAATTGTTTGTGAAATATACTATCTAATGTATTATATACTAAAACATTTCTGAAAAAAAATTCATTACTTATTAAGAAATTTGTCGATATAAAAACGTACATACGTACGTATGCGCAGCAAACATCTTTTTTTGAAGTCGGTTAGTGAACATAATGCCGCGTTCCGGCACGAAAGTTTAAAATAACGCCATGAAATTTAGATTATGAGCAAAACGATTTAACTTATGAACTTAAATTAAAAACCGTATTGTTATAGTTATGCAATAATGTTTGCAAGCCGCAGTGACGGTTCTAACTGTTACATAATTAAAACATGTAAACATAATAACATGTTAAAATGTATTCTCTACATTGGATGATACGGAAATTTCATCCGGTAGAGTTAGAGAGTTGGCGGAGAAAATTAGTTATTCAAAATGTTATGACTATGTCGTTTCTCAAATTGACAACTATTTTAGTGTTGCCATGTTCATGTACATTTTCAGGTTTTTTTGTGTATAGTTATGATTATCGTTTACATATTTTATTGATGGTATCATAGAATTTTGATTATGAAGTAGGTTTGTAGAAAAAATACTTCATCGCTTCACCCCTACTCGTCCCGTTTGACGGTACCTGAAATATTAATTGTAATATAAGCAGTTATTTTTTAAGTTAGCAATGTTTACCTAGTCGTTATACTATAAAAATCACATGGCATTAAAACCCGTGCTCTCTAACAATAGACATTTTAAGAATAATACATAAAACAGTCCAATATTGCCATTACGTTGTTAAAATATTGTATAAATTATTGATTTTGTATATTCAAACGATGTTTTTTATTTATATTAACCGATTAAAATATAGTCAAAGCATTCTTAAAGGTGGATTTATTGACGTGATAATGTTAAGCAAGGTAAATATTAGGTTATAATGGGTTTAAAGATGGTTTTATAATAGTTATGTAATAATTAAGAAGTTATGAAAAAGCCCTTTAAAATACATCTATTTTGTATTTTTCAACAACCGTGCAATGTACATGCTAAAATATTAAATTTATAAACAATGGATTTGAAAAGAAATTATGAATCTGTTTCTTTATTATCGTTAAGGTGTCACCAGACACGACCCTGCAAATGTTTGATTATATTCAGATGTCGTGCTTATGTAATGGCATCATCTAAACATGTAGTTGATATACATAAATAATACAAAATATAATAAAATTGCATATAATGCGAATATAAGGCCGGCCTTATATTCAAAATCAACTACTGAGTTACACATTGATAAGTGCAAGTAGACAAGTTAACTACCATTAGATATGTGTATTATATACATGTACCCACGTATGGTATAAATAGATGACATTTCGTATAGTTATATGGAAGAAGGTCTCTGTGGCTTGTGCAGTATAATTTTAGGTGTACTATGTATTCGTAAATTCTGAACCAACTCATCAATAAACTCTAGATATGCAACGACATAATAGGTGCATTCTTTCCTACTGAATTTGTGAGTTTAGGGTTAATATCTGCAATTTTATTAAGAAAGGCTTATTTCCTAAAAAAACAGCCTCAATATAATATTTGTTTGATTTCATTAGTATTTGTAATATGGTGCAAACATTTAATTCATTAGGTATTTTATATCATGATTGATTTTTACGTTACGTTGTCAGTATATTTGGGACATAATTAAAGTAAGAAATGGTCCTCTGAGATTAACACTGGCTTTGTGGGTACATTTATATTACTATAACACTAATATTAAAAGCCAGTTAGAATGTTAGAGTTGTAGGCAGTATTAATATACAATAGTTTTGCCTGAATAGATGTTTTAATCGCTGTATGCATAAATCCGCGATAACTTGTAAGAAAATGTTTGATTAACATTCCTGTTGAAAGTATTATTGTAAAATAAGGTAAATAAATGCTTGCGTTGTAGAAATAATGTTATGATAAAGTACTATAAAAGAAAATTGTAGGGAACAATGTGTTTATTTAAATAAAATTAAACGTTAAAATTAATTTGATTAAAATTAAACGGCACACTGAAAAAAAAAAATCCGAATCGGCCTTCAATTAGATTTTGTTGTCACTACTTGTTAAAAAGTAGAAAGAAACGAATATTGGAATACCAATTGGATTGCGTGCGTGCATAGGTTTGTAATGTGACCACACCAATACCCGAAAGTAATTTATTTAACAAAGAATGTTTCGATATCGAAACGTAAAATTCAATTGTGAATGTAATAGTAGACTCCAATTGAAATGAATCAAAATTAATTATTAGATTGTGCATGTATATGGTACACAAAATGCACCATACGTAAAATACATTTAAGTAAAAACAATTATGTATGTAATGCCTCCTTACTTACAAAATTCTTTTTTTAAAATATGTTTTTTTTTACTTATTTTTTGTTGACTTGTAGGAGACCATAATCACAAACCGTTTTTTTTAAATTAGAAGATCATCTAGCTAAAGGGTCGTTTTTTATTCTTGGAGCTCAATATCAGCTCACTCTATAATGACAATAAACGTGTTAGGTAAGTGTTGTGATTTATATATTAGGTAGTTATCGAATTTCGTATTTATTGCTACCTAAATCCCGTCCTCTTTCGTATATATTTTTAGATGCTAACTGCCGGTATAACTTTTTGTATGTACCGATTTTCGAAATGTGTACAATTACGTGTAATATCTATGAGCAACATTTCACTGACCGTATTCCACACTTTTGCGAATATATTTCTAATTTTACTTTCACCAGGACTCAAATATGAATGTTTCTAGCTATTTGATATTTTATTACCAAACCACCGATTTTCTAATGTGTATAAAACAGTTTTGAATTAGTAACAATGAGTAACAAGAAATGATTCACTGATTGAATTTATATTTTTACACATAATAAAAATATAAGACAAAAGAAATTTCACATGAATTTATTGTTAGTTTATCATAAAAGCTACTATTTATCATTATAATATATGTTACAGTTCAGTTAGTTTTGATAACACTTGGTTTTAACCTTATTCCTGCAATCGATGAATGAAGTCCTTCTCTTCTGGTTTCCACCTTTAGAGTGCATATTAGAGGAAATGGCCAAGGGTTAATGTATAAAATATAACATTTACGGAATACAAGATGTGTCTTAAAAAACTGCGAAACCATCGAAAAGAAATTTCGAAACGCGAAAAGGTTGACCGACCAACATTTTTAAACTAATTTATTTTATGTTCAATTTTACTTCATGCTTGCCAATTTTTTTTTATGTACGTTTTTGTTATTATTAACAATACCATTAGGTTACATTTAGACCTTAGAAAAGTTATTTTCGGAAAAATATAAAAATAAGTACTATTTTTGGAGGGTTGTTAAGTTATTATTTGCTTAGGTATCTTATGATTTATTCTTAGAGCTTATATTGTCTAGAAAAAATACAAAAAAGTGATAAATGATTTATCGTATTTTATGAAATGCTACCATGAAGTGATTTTTTTATGAAAAATTGTATTTATTGATGTAAAATAATATTCTGTGTAAACACTGTTTTATGTATGTACTATAGAAATAATTGTTCCTTGGTGATTAATGCATTCTTTGTAACCCTAATAAGCGTTCATTAGTAGCCAAGAGTAGAAGCCATCGACAGACATTCTTATCTGTTTATATATATTATTGAAAATAAATAACAGCTCAAAACAGACTGCGTAAAAGAACTGTACTAAATTATTGTTTTAATTTAGATCGTTAACAAAAAATCCATTATAATTGTGTTGACGGGCCTGTTCTAGTGCTTAGTGCCCCTGACTGCTAAGCCGGAGATCGTGGGTTCAATTCTCACCCAGGACAAATGATTGTGTGATGAGCACGATCATTTGTTTTGTGTTTGGATGTAATTTATCTAGAATATGTATATATTTAAAAATATTTAAGTATGTTTAGCAGCGGACTGGTTACTATCGTACAGGATCTGCCTAGTTTGGGATCAGACTGCCGTATGTGAGATGTGCGAAGTTATTATTAAAAAAAAATGTAATCAGGACAAAAAAAATTGCGTTCTTTAAAATGTACCTGCACAATACCTGCATTATGAACGCGTATCTTTGCTAAAGCTGAAAACATTACTATTATAAATGTTCTTACTTGCCAATATTATACTCGCATGTATTAATTTAAAATTGTACTTATTAGGCATATAAATGTTAGGTATGACCAACTACTTAAATCTGCTATATAATATAATGTGCTATTTATTGTTGTATGTATGTAGGATATGTATGACTATAAAAGTCACTTCAGTGCCTATTGTCTATGCTGTGGACGAGACAGGCTTTTGAGTTTGAAAATATAAAGATTGCTGTACATGTCTCGCTAATACCTAGAGTACCTGATCTTCTTTGCTCCATCGGCCAGAAATTCTGCCTTCCTAGGATTAAAAGCGTTGCCTTCTTAGGATTAAATAAACTTATGTACAATCATGCACATTTATGCGAATTAAAGATTTCACGATTGAGATTGTATTAGCCTTTGGTCACGGCCAGTGCCTGGTTAAACGTCAGGCAACTCATAGGTATGTAGTATGTGCTACGAGATCAACAGCATAAACTCTCGTTTACTGATTGAACTACAAATAAATAATATTGAAGTGTATGTCAATATAATAGGTTTCTTCAGACTCATACGGTTATTTGCACGATACCTATGACTAAAAAGCAGTTTAAATACTTTTTGTCTGTCTGTCTCTTTGTGCCGGGTAATCTTCAAAGCGGCTGGACAGATTTTGTTAATATTTTACTACCTGGTAGCTGTCTATATAAGGAGTCTCTTAGGCTTATTTTTCTCTTAGATAACCCCCTGTAAAATTTTGCCCTGTCCGGGAATCGAACCCGAGGCCTCGTGGACTGTAGTGGCGTACCTTACGACAACACTAAGGCAGCGCTCTTCAAATTACCGGCTAAACACCGGGCTCAAAATTTTGAATAAGTCGTCTATTTGTTAAAGACAGTAGTTAAAAATAAAAGCTTTAAGAAAGGTTATAGAACAGGTTTCTTTTGTTGTATATACTTACATACATTTAACAAGAATAGTTACAACAATTTATCGAAGGGCATATAGTAACCCAAATACTTGAATGTTTAATGATAATGGTTTGGTATGTACGCATTAGTTCAATAACGTCATATGTCATTATGTATTTATAAAATAACAAAAAAAAAGTTACAAATAATTGTTCACATTTTATATTATGTATTCACAACTATAATAAAACTTAGCTCTGTCATTATACAGACATATAAAGCGTCATGGGAATAGCTTTCTTATGTACCTACATTTAGATTCATATATGGTTAATAGTGAGAATTGAATGTAATAGAAAATAACTATACGCATTATATACTTAGTTGTAGCAATAATTGCCGTAAGCCGTAATCATAAGATGACAAAGTTTAATTCTGATGATTGCCTGGTTTGTTAGCTATTTTTCGGACAAATGTATCGTGATTAATCATTGCATTTGAGATGCTAAGATTGTAGTACAAAAGAATTAATTTGTAGTTGTCACAACAATTTTGTTAAATTATGGGAATAGAATTTATTTAGTTGAAATATTTTGTTTTATTTAAACGTTTGTAAGGTAATCGCGTGTCGTAATCACTGTCAGGGTGCGACACGATAGGCGTAATGTTTGCCCTCATCAAATTAATCATATCGCGATAAAGAGTACGTGGTCTATAGTAGAGGCGAGCGGAGGCGCGGCGTTGATGTCGAATGCGTGCAACGTCGCCTCGTAGTACTTACTTCGTAGCGTTATCGGGAAAGCGCGGGAAAATCGCGGCGTCGAGCGCTCGCTTCAGTAGACTCGCACCCGCCGACAGAGATGGACGGGTCGACGCGCGCGATCGCGCTCGTACTCGCGGTGTTCGCGCTCGTAACCGCGCGCGCCCACATACCCTCCCACGATAACATACTCCGAATTCAATTATGGGATGCGGAAGGTCTCAGCAGGGATCCCATCACTACGCCGGCTCATATTACGACGTCGGCTCCAAGAAGCACCAGGCGACACAAGTTGAAAGTAAACTTGGATTCTCTGTATGATGCGATGCTGGAAGAAAGTCGAAGTAGTGGTTACGGCAGGTTCACGCGACACAAAGTCCGTCACAAGCGACGTCGTCCCCGGCAGAGTGGCCCTGACCTGCCTTGGAGGTTCCATTCTGGGGATCGGCTAATGAATGTGGAGGTGTACAATGACGATGTGCCGTGGGAAGTTATCGAGGGTAACAATTCCGGGGCGGTCGTGAATAGCAGTGCAGTGAGTGACAGTGCCAGTTCCACAGTGAATGAGCAGCGGGACGTGGGGCCGCCGATGTTGCTGCGTCAGCCTGAGGACGAGGTAATGAGTGAGGGCAAACACTGTATACATTAATGTAACTTCGCCTTTCATCGTTATCGTCGCCCCGAGGTGGTTAATAGCCATTCACAGTACTGATAGCCTGCCGGCATTGCCGTAGGGATTTCTATTCACCGCTCCTTTTCAGCATAACCCCTCGGGCGACGATGCGTTGATAAAAGTGAATGCCCTTCATTGTTTTTAAAATATTTTCTCGCCGGTTGTATGTAGATTGTATCACGTCGTATGAACGAGCGCCAAAAATAATTTTCAAGGGGAGATTGGCTCACTCTTTCTTATCAGGAGGTATATTTTACAGATTATCTGTTTGTTTTCGTCAATGTTTACTCTCACAATCTGGATATTGATATTTAGTATACTGAGAATATACTCGTATTATCGTTATCAGTCGCTTGATACAAAATGAAATAAATATTTAAGTGACGAGTATTTTGGCTGTGACAGGCATGTGCGGTAATGTACTAACACACACATATACGTAGCTGATTGACATGACCATGAATATATTTAAGTTCAGTACAAATTACTGAAAATGTATGTTGACTTATAAGAATTCAAGGTCTAAGAAGCTAAAACTAGTTTGACGTAATATGTAAAATAATTTAGAACGAAAATAGCATGCTACTTGACATTCACAACTAACTTGAACTTGAAAGAGGCATAACTATTGCGAACTAATTCGTATATGACTGGCTGTTAGTGTTCGACCTTTAGATTCTTTTGCTTAATTCTTAACGATCCAAGGGCTCCATAAACTAAGGCTCGTACAACACTTACACATTCACACATCCTGTTTTAGCATAAACATTTCATCCAATCTGTTAAACACACAGTTACGGTGGCTTACGGTTAGTTTATGTATTTTAATTTTCATAGCTTTCTCTAAAGCTTCCGTTTTGCCTCGGAGTAGCTACATTATGTATTTAATTTCGGAAATAACATAGTTTTAAAACATACGGGGGCATTTATTATAAAAGTAAATTTATATGTATATCATCTTCCCTTCCCTTCGCGGCACTGTGCGACTAACGTGTGACTTCATATGCTAACAATTTAAATATTGTTTTCTGTGTTTTTCTGCGACTAGTTCCCGGTTTGCGGGCGGCTAAAGGTTGTGTATAGTGTTTTAAAGAATATCAGTAAGTTTTTATTGTTTTTTAAACAGAAATATAGTGCTGAATTATTTTATTACGACTATTGGTGAGTAAATTTATTTTCTTTCTAAAAGTGGGTAGGAGGTATCCTTTGTTTATATTGATTTTTCTCTGCGTATTGTTTATTTTTAAACTTGTTCCTTTTGAAATTGTTGTTTGGTGTGTCTTTGTTTGGCTATGTCGGTCGTTAGCGAGTTGCCGGACCCCGGCGGTACAAGTGAATTTCTAACACCAACCGGGAAAAGGACATTTAACGAAATGTCACCTACGGATTTCTCGCCGAAAGACAATAGAAGTAAACGAATTAATAATTCGGATTTAAGTGGAAATGTTTCGTCTCTTAACGGTCGTGATAACTGTGGGGAATACAATTACTGCGAGTTAGTCTCACAGGCTACCGAGTACTTGGCAAAAATCAATGAATTAGTTAATGATCAGGGATCTCGGATGAATGTAGGTAATAAAACGGCAATTATGGATATTACTCAACGAATTACCGGTATCGTATCTTTGTTAGCAATAAAATCCTCTAGCAACGAAACGAAGTTAGCGAATTTTGAGCGACAAATGGAGGGTATCGCAACTCAACAAACGAGTTTAACGTACGCGGACAAACTTAAGCTTCGATTACCACCTAAATCTGCTCCGTGCCCGGTACCTACTGAAGCGCGCGTTCCTAGGCCTTGTGTTATTGCCTATCCCACTACGGAACGCTTAGCGGACTATGCGACCTCGTCAGCAACGAAACAAGCTCTCATGAAGGCTATTAAACCGAGCGATGAGGGATTTCAAATTGTAGGCGTTAAAAAAACCTCTAAGGCGGGCGTCGTGTTACGTGTAGCTAACGAACGGCAGCTTAAGAAACTGGAATCTGTGGACGCCATTAAATCAGTAGGGTTGCGCTTAGAAAAACCGAAAGGCCGTAGGCCCCGTATAATTGTAAAAGACGTACCCGGTTCTATGGAAGATCGTGCCTTCCTAACAGCTTTATACCGTCAGAATATCAAGGACGAATTAAAATTAAGTGAGAATGATTTTATTAAGTCAACCAAAATTGTTAGGCATCGTAAACTAGAAAATGGGCGTCAATGGATAGGCTTAGAATTAGAGGCAGCAGTTCGGAAACATCTAGCCAACACAAAAGATAAACTTTATATAGACTGGGCCACATGTAGATTCATAGACGATATAGAAGTAGTTCGTTGCTTAAATTGTCAGCAATTCGGTCATGTACAAAAGTTTTGCACTATTAAAACCCCTACTTGTGCTAATTGCGCCGCCGCACACGAAACGCGAGCTTGTCCAGATAAAGACACACCAGATTTTAAGCCCACGTGCGCACAGTGTAAGCGGTTCAAAAAACCATCTGACCATCGATGCGGCTCATACGACTGTGCCACATACAAATTAAAACTGGAACAGCTAATATTAAATACCAATTACTGAATAGTTTAACTTAGTTTAAAAAAAAAAAAAAAAAAAAAAAAAAAAAAAGTTTAAAGAGTAACTTACTAAGTAATGAATAATATTTCGATAGGCCAGTTAAATCTTCATAACGATAAAATAGCTACATCAGAATTAGACCGTTTAATTTTAGAACAAAAGTTAGACATTGTCCTTTTACAAGAACAATATCAGAGCGCTCACTTGCGTCGTAATGTAGTACAGCTTGACTGCCGTTCGCAGGCTGGGATATATGTTGCAAGTTCTAATTTTACGGTAACATCTTTGCGTAATCTTATGACGTCACACTGCGCCGTTGCTGAGATCTCATCCTCTACCTGTAAGGTTTACGTAGTGAGCTGCTATTTTCAATATTCACATCCTATTGATCCTCACTTACATCACTTACGTTACGTCTTGCAGTTCCTCGTGGGACATAAAATTATCATTGGCGCTGATGTCAATGCGTCATCTTCATTATGGTATGGCAAGTTGCGTTCAACCGACACGGTTCGACGTTGTGCGGTTGAAGATTTCATTGCGGAAATGAATCTTATTATTCACAATACCCCCGATGCACCACCAACTTTTTGCAACCCAATGGGTGAGTCTTCTATTGACGTGACGCTTACGCGCGGCGACGTCTCGATATCCGGATGGCGTGTCCTTCCGGACGCATCCTGTAGTGATCACCGCTTGATCGTGTACGAATTCACACCAAGGGTTGCACAGGATCCACAAAGGGTTCCCTATAATTTTAGATATAAAACTAAAGGTGCGAACTGGGCTTTGTTTGGTTCACTCTTTGCAACTCATACCAAAGACTTCAGTCGCAGTAGTTTATCAGCTGAGGAAAGCGCAGAAATACTATCAGAAACTTTTACATACTGCGCTGATGTAACTATTGGTCGCGGATCTATCACTAACACTCGTAGATGTGATTGGTGGAATGATAGATTAGCCGAACTACGTAGAAGCTACCGGAAAGCTCGTAGAAAATTAAACACTATTAAAAAACATAACGTAACAGGAGATTTGTACAACATTGCTCTCATTGCTCTTAGAGTTGCCAGGTCCCACTACAGAGCTGCTGTGGAAAAATCCAAGGGAAACTTAATTCAGAAACTTGTTAATAAACTCGATAGAGAGGGCCCGTGGTCACCTTTGTATCACGAATTTAAGGCAAATAGATCAATCGACCACGCATACATACAGAACATCAAAATTAATAACAGATATACCACAGGAGTAGAACAAACAGCAGAATATCTTTTAGACTCACTCGTACCTGACGATCGACCGGAAAACGACACAGATCATCACCGACAGATCAGGCAGTGGGCCATCGAACCACCACTGTCTCCAATGTCTGATTTACCATCTTCAGACGAATTTCTCGGTATCATTAGATCCTTGCCGCTAAACAAGGCTTCGGGTGATGATAAAATATCTAACAAAATGATAAAAGAAGCTTGTAAACTTTCGGGTGACACGATTTTCACTGTCTTTAAACGTTGCATTGCTGAAGGAATATTTCCTCGTATATGGCGGTGCGGTAATATTCGTATAATACCAAAAAGTGGCGACAAGCCACCGGATGATCCTAAATCCTACCGACCAATCACATTGTTACCATCGTTAGGAAAGCTTTTAGAACGTCTTGTAGTGCCCCGGCTTCTGCCAGGTGGAGTCAAATTTCATGATAGACAATTTGGATTTACGTTGGGTAAATCGACAACTGACGCTGTTATATCGGTTAGAAAGTTTGTCACAGAGTCAAAATTTCAATACGTGCTGGCTATTTTCTTAGATATATCTGGCGCCTTCGACAACGCATGGTGGCCCATGCTGTTGCTGAAATTAAAATCACGGGGGTGTTTTAAAAATATTTATTCCCTTATCTCTTCGTACTTTTCACAAGGTACAACTAAACTAAGACTTGGTCATCATTCTGTGTCGAAGGCGCTTACAATGGGATGTCCTCAGGGATCGGTGCTAGGTCCATACTTGTGGAATATCGGCTTCGACGATTTTCTTACGATACCAATACCATCCGGATGTACTCTGAACGCGTATGCTGATGACGGCTTATTACTGGTGGAATCTGATACTAGGGCGGGGCTTGAGAGATTAGCCAATAGATGTTTGAACTTGATATCTCAATGGGGTGAACGTAATCGCTTAACTTTTGCACCCAACAAAACCTTCCAGTTACTTTTAAAAGGTAACCTCAAATCACCGCCGAGCATTAGATTTGACAATGTTACTGCAAAAAATAAAACCACAGTGTGTTATCTAGGATTAGTTTTAGAAAGAAACTTTTCATTTATCGAACATATTAAAATAGTTAATGAAAAGTCTAAAAAGAGTTTCTGTGCATTGACAAGGGTATCAACTGCGACATGGGGTCTATCATTT